CATAATCATGAATGAGTAATAAATTAATCATTACACCAATTACATACCTTTGCCTCTAAGCGCATGCACCTTGCATAATTAGAGCACAAATAATACTTGCAATATAAAATAGTGCACATCATATGAAATTCACAATGTATAACCAAATAGTCTAAATCAGTCATCCCTATACATGATACTAAGTTCTCGATCTGTCCTTAAACATGCACCTAAATGAAAGGTTTCGTAACTTGTACGTACCTTGAATAAACGAATTGGTATGCCACTTTACTAACTAGAAATCACCTTCAATAAACTCCTCTCCTAAACCAAACATTAACATCTCAATCAATACCCAATCAATCAAATTTACAGCAATACTAACCTACTTTAAAACCTTCAAAATACAAATCAAACAACACTTTTAAACCTTCCCTTTAGTTAAAATTAAAGGCTTATATATAGTTTTTTTAAATTTTCTTCATAAAAACCTTAAATTACACTTTTATACATGAAATTACAGCAAGTTTAAAGTTTAATAAAAATCGGGAAATTATTTAAAAACCCCTAATAATCTCCCTTTTTAATGGGTGATGAAACCCTCTTTATAAAACATCAAAAGTAGTACTTAGAAACTATTTCCAACACTTAAAAATTCAATAAAAACATATATTTATGCTTAATCAAATTTAAACATAACTAATTTTATTAATCAAACTCAAGGATAATATTTTAAGTATAAAAAAAACTTCGTTAAAATCAAAAACTACCCGAAAATCATATTTCGAGGCTGAATTTGGCCACGAAAGGGTAGTTATCACTACCAAAGGTAATGTGTTTTTCTTGAAACGTTGTTTCCACATGGAAAACACTACTTTTTTGTCAAAATCGGATGAGTTCAGAACCTGATCGGGATTAAAACAAGATTAATATTAACGAACGAAAATCTAAAAATTAAAACACGGATTTAAGTGTTCAAAATAATCTGGAATTAAGTTAAACTAATTGAGCGCGGGGAAATTATGTCGTTGACTAACCTCCTCACGGCCAAACAAAATTTATTATAATCCTAAACTAACCCCTAAACAAGTCTAGTGGTAAGTTCGGAGTCGAACCACAAGGAACGGTAATGTTGGATTGTTCTCGATCTAATGCTTAAGCTACGCCGAAGTCGGTTTATGGGTAGTGGACACTACAACTACACTAACACACATATAAAGATCAAGATATTACAAAGTCTACTAGGGGCAAAGATCCACTTTGAACAATTAACAAGTTAATGGGAATCGATTTGATAATCAATCATGCAAAGAAAGAATTAAAATGGGAATTAATTACCATCAAGAGCAATCTCTCAAATTCCTAGCCTAGATCCCTCATTGACTAGGTAGGTGCATAGAAGAAATTTACCCAAAATGCAATCAAATATATAAATTCTAATTCACAATCCCTTGTCAAACTAGAACTAACATGCAATTAAGTTTGCTATCTTGGGAGATCAATCCAATCTAAAACAAACAACATGCCATCATCAATTCAATCAATTTAATCACACAATTATCATCAAATTTATCTCAAATAACTCAATTAACCATAACAAAGCTTCACTCAACACCTAGTAGAAGGAAATCTACTCAAACATGATTAACAAAGCAATTAATAAATCATAAAGAGAGAAGAGAGTAAGAAATGCTCATTGATATAAAATGGAGATCTTCAAATCATCAAATTCCTCCTTTGATTATCCAAAATCCATGAAAACCATTGTTTCTCTCACTTTCTCTCTCCAAAATTTGAGAGTTTCTCTCTCTAAAAACCTAAAACTACTGAAAATATGAATTCTCTCTTCTAAAATGAGCAAAAAATCTATTTATAGCCCTTACTAAATTGCCTAGGAAGCTCCGCAAAAAGTCGAGCAGCGCGTAGAGGAGCGGGCGTGCACCCCTCAGGAGCGGGCGCTCCAAACCTTCTGCCAAACTTCAAAATTGCACACCCTGTGAGGAGCGGGCGTGCGGCCTTGAGGAGCGGGCGCTCCTGGCTGCGGATTGGGCAAACTGCTCAGCTTCAAATGAGCATATCTCCCACGTTTTACATCGGAATTGAGCATATGACCTGTCGTTGGAAAGCTCTCAAGATAAGCTTTCATCTCCGATTGGAATCGCCCCAAAACGTTTTGTAGATCAAAAGATATAGGCGTTTGAAGTATGATCTTTGCAAATCAAGTGCACATTTCTTCATTACTTGTTCTTTTATGCTTTATATTTCTTCAATCTTGAGCAATGAACTTATCCAAGTGTTCCTAAACATAAGAGTAAACCAATAAAGTTTAATCTAATGTCATAAGCCACCAAAATATGCAAGAAAAGCCAAAATTGAGCAATAACGACATTTCACACATAAACATGACAAATGTAGTAAAACGTTATTAAAACCAAGTAAAAAGATAGAAAAACTATGAAAAACTAACTAGAAAACTCCTAAAAATAGCGACATAAATGACACTTATCACTAATCAGTAGTTATAATCACCAAAATTTCAAAACATCATTACTATAAAAGCCCTAAATCAATTGTTCATAAAAACCCTAAAATCATGATTTTCAATAAATTGAAACCCTAGGTTTATAATTCATAAAATATGAAAATTTATAACATAAATATAATCTGAAATTTATAATCTTTATACCATCAAAATATAATTTGATACTAAAAATATAATGTTTATACTAAAATCAAAACCCAAACAATTAAATTAACATTAAGTAAAATAATGAAACAAAGGAGGATGAAAATAAGACTAACCTTTTATGTGTGGGAAATTTTTGGAGATTCATGGGGTATTTATAGAAGAGAATTATTGTAGGGTAAAAAGGAAGATTGGGCCTCATAAAAATAATGGGTCGATTAAGTAAACAAATGAGTTAGACTTGTGTGATTGGACATAAATTGTAGAATAAAGGTGCATAAAATAATTTGGTCAAATAATTTTCGACCCAAATTAATAATTTGAAACTTTTGAAATTAAATTATGAAAAATAACAAATAAATATTATAAATAAAATAAATTTTCATTTATAAAATATTTAAAAATACGGGGGATTACATCCGTCGGGTCCAAATTTGAGGGATCCATATCCATATCCGCTGGATCCTACGGATCCGGGTCCAAAACGGATCTTAAACGGATCCTACACATTTTACCCATTATTTAACAAAATATCTAGTTTTTAAGTAACAAACAATAAGATTAAGATTAAGATACGATATATACTCATCCATCAAAAACAAACAAACTATTATTGTAATCCCCGTATTTTTAAATATGTTATAAATGAAATTTAATTTTATTTATAATATTGTTTTGTATTTTTCCGTAATTTAATTTCAAAATATTCAAATTATTAATTTGGGTCAAAAATTATTTTGGTACAAATTATTTTATGAACCTTCATTCTATAATTTATTTCAATACAACTAAATCTTAGTCCATTTCATTCATTTTGCCCATTAATTTTATGAGGCCCAATCTTTCTATTTACCCTACAACTTTCTCTCCTATAAATACCCCATGAATCCCCAAAAATTTCCCACACAAAAAGGTTAGTCTTATTTTCTTTCTCCTTTGTTTTATTAATTTGTGTAATTATAATTATTGATTTATGGGTTTTGATTTAATTGTTTGAAATTAATTTAATTGGTTTCAAATTTTATTTTGACGAATTTTCGGATTATATAAATGTCATAATTTTCAGATTTTGTAAATTTTATAACCTAGGGTTTTTAATTATTGAAAATCATGATTTTCGGGTTTTTGTGAACAATTGATTTAGGGCTTTTATAGTAATGATGTTTTGAAATTTTGGTGATTATAACTACTGATTAGTTTAACTTAATTCTAGATTATTTTGAACACGTAAATTCGTGTTTTAATTTTTAGATTTCCATTCGTTAATATTAATCTTATTTTAATCCCGATCAGATTCTGAACTCATCCGATTTTGATGAAAAAGTAGTGTTTTCCATGTGGAAACAACGTTTTAAGAATGACCAAATTCAGCCTCTAAATATGATTTTCGGGCAGTTTTTAATTTTAACGAAGTTTTTTTATGTGGTAGTAAGGTAAAATTAATTAACTTTAGGGATTAATGTAATAAGAATAGATTTATAATTTAATTAGGATGTTTTAAAAAAAAGTAAGGGTATAATTGTCATTTTATAGCCAAAAAACTTACTAAAAAGGGAAAGAAAATGATTTGTTGCAAGTAATGTGAAGCAGCCATTTAAGGAAACTGTTGCGAGTAATCCGAAGTGGAGGTAGTATATAAAATAGGCTCATCACTATGCACAACCTCAAACTTCTATCTTTCTTCTTCACAAACAAAATTGGTGCACCCCATGGTGATGAACTAGGCCGAATATATCCCTTCTCCAACAAGTCATCTAACTGAGTCTTCAGCTCTTTCATCTCATCCGAGGCCATCCTATATGGAGCCTTTGAAATAGGTCATGCCCCTGGCACAAAGTCTATGGTAAATTCAATATCCTTCACAGGTGACATTTTTGGAATCTACTCAGGAAAAACAACTAGAAATTCATTTACTACTGGAATTTTTTTTACCATCATCTTTATCTCCTTCTTCTATCTTTTGGTGTGGTGTGCAGTTAGCTTGTGTAGAGGAATTACCAATGGGGTCATACAAATAGTTTGGTAAGAACGGAGTATATTGCGTTTGTTAACGAGCGTTTAACTAGTAACTAAAGACACCGATTGAATGACGAGTGTATCCTTACTAAAGAGTACGAATTGACCACCGCATCCCCATATAAACAAGATGTTAATATGTAATATTAGACCTTGTTTGGTTGATAAGGGAAATAAATTCCCATAGCACCTTATATTTCATGGGAAACTATTTCCCAAATGAAATTCCTAGGAATTTCACTAAGTTATTTGGTTGTGATTGTGGAAAGTTGGAATTCCCATAAATTTTGATTGACTTGGGGCGGTTAGGAAATATGTAATGCACCGCGGAAGTGCAGAGTATATTTTGGCCATGTCGCATATGACCCGCCAAAAGTAGAGCCATCTCCTACTTTCCCAGAAAGAAATTTGGAGTCTGAAGACCTTGATACTATTAATGAAAATTGAAACCCTAATTATCTTTAATCGGAAATGGAGGAAGGAGAGAGATTGATTCCAATAAACAGAATTTGAATTTGAATGGCGTCTGCTCCGCGGCACCAAGAAAATAAGGTACCTCCTGATACTATTAATCTTAACGTTGTGAATAATATTCCTATTATCGTATTAGGTTTAAGTGCATCCTCTAATTATAAAATTAGAGGTGATAGAATTATCGAGGGAAGGAGAGAATTATTGAGGAAAAATGATGAAAATGGAATTGTTGAGCGAAATGCCAAGGTTGTTGTGTTAGAGGGTGAAGAAAAGAGAGTCGTTTCCCCTTATTTTGTTAGACTACAGAATAATGAGTTTGTTGTTGGGTCTGAGAAGAATAGGGAAAGGGAGTTGCTTGTTAGTTTAATGAATGAGAATGGGAAAAGAGTCGTTTCTCCATATTTTGTGAAAAAGGAAATAAAGAAAAGGAAGAGAAAACCAGACATTCGGGAAGATGTTAAAGGGGGAAATGAGGACATGAATTCAGTAAGAGGACATGATAGTCCTTTTATGATGGCAACAGACAGGGAAAATAATCAAGTCCTCGAGGAGAACACAAAGGGAAGTATGAAGAATGATAGCAAGGAAGAGAATAAAAGGAAAAGGAAGAAAAATATTCTAAATGATAAGGATGGCAATATCACGTTACCGAAAGTAAGGAAGCAAAGAAATAGCAACAAGAAAACTTCTGTGATTGAAGAGGAATTGGAAACAGGAGACAAAGTTAAAAAGCTGAGGAATAATGCTGACCAATGTTGCATGGAGAAGAATAATGCTGTGCTTTCTGCTGCTCTCATTACTAAAGAGGCAGAACAAGAGAATATTATGGTTATGTTAGAGTCTGTTAAGGTTGATGAAGAGGAACCCTTGCACCATTTGAAGGTTGACAATTGTCTGGATGAACCGACTTTATGTGGTGATCAAGGCGGGTATGACTTGATGATTGGCAACATTTCCGAAAAACCAAAAAACAAGAAGAAAAAGAAAACTGCATCTTTAAAATGTGACTCAGCAGCTGGCCAGGAGAATGAACTTGATCCCTTGTCACTGAGGTCTATACATGCTAACCAAAACTGTTCAAAAGCTTTGGCATCCAAGGTTATCTCTCCATATTTTAGAAAGGTGTCAAAGGAAAATGAGTTTGATGGTGAAAGAGACGAGGCTGACTGTAGAAATAAGAAAAAGAGAAGGGTTGACAAGACTATGTACGTTGAATTTGAAGAGGTACTTTCCAAATATGCTTACCAAGGGGACAGCTACTTGAATAGGGAAGAGGAAGTAGGGGGTAAGAAAGAAGACAGTAGTGCTGGAAAAGGTAAGAAGAAACGTAAACAGCAATGTGGAAGTAGGACTCTTAGTGCTGCTGAGAAGCGAGCTGATGCTTACCAAAGAAAAGCACCAAACTGTACCTGGAGGCCACCCTGCTCTCCTTACAATCTTCTGCAAGAGCAGCATGCCCATGACCCTTGGAGAGTGTTAGTGATTTGTATGCTTTTAAATATCACTACTGGACCCCAGGTATGTTTTTATGATGTGCGTTAAGTACTAAAATAACTTATTTTTATTTTAGCCCTGACCATAGACATTATTTTCTTGAACTGCAATGCCTATGCTGCTGTTTGAGCATTTACGTGTCTCAGGTTTAAAACAATTGAGTGACATTGGTGATGATTATAGAAGTACTATGCTCTATGAAATATTTGAAATGACTGTAGATTAAGGCATAAGTTATCTCTAGTTTCTAAGGTTTGCTTCCTCTCTGTCCACATTATATGAAACTCTTTTTCTTGATGAGTTTCTCTTGATAAGGAGTCACAGCTACACTTGATATGTTGAAGTTGCTTTCATTATCCTGGTGGTTTGCAAAGAGCTTGATGAATACAAATGTTGGTGCTGGGTTTCCGAATTTTTACGCGTCATTTCAGATAAATAGTGTTTTATCGTTAGCAACTTTGTATGTATTGGGCATTTTAGTTGAGGAAAAAGCCTGTTATATGCCAGATAATTATCCATAGCTCATACCTTGTGATTATTTAGTCAGCTTTGTTGTTGGGAAATGGGAGATGTTTGGTGCTTGCTTTTGCTGGATGATCAATTTGAGCTGAGTCTTAAATATATAATATGAAGCTGTTATTTAAAGCCTTTATCTCATGCAATTTATTTATTTTTCATTTTTTTGTAAACTTTGAAGTATATGGCATTTAGTATCCAAGGGATATTTCTCATAGAAAGATATCAAAAACTACTTCACTTTTTCACGATACCTTGCATTTTCTTTGTCCTCTGCCCTACTTATTTACATGTGTGACACCCATTTTGGTGTCTTTTCTATTTTAATCCTTTGTTGCTTATTACTTTGTAGTAACACTGTACTTATTGCAATTTATAAATTCTCGATTGTCTTGTAATGTAACATGGCTTGTCCAAGTGAATGAGCTTAATAGATGAGGTTATGTAACGAGTTTTTAATAATCATTAAAGTTTTGCTCTCTTTTCTTCCTCTCATGCCCATTTGTGTATCCTTTGGAGGGGATTTCTTTGGTGAAAGACTGTATATTATTTGGTCATGATTTCTTGTGTGGATTAATTGATACTTGAATTCATTTTGAGGATCCAAGATTGTGAAAACATTTGTTTATCGTTTATTTTTGTGTAGGTCAGGAAAGTTTTGTCGCACTTTTTTGATGTGTGCCCCAATGCTGAAGCTACTATTGGCACTGATGTCACTAGAATCGCAAGTATGATACAAAGTTTAGGGTTGCATAGAAAGAGAGCAGCAATGATTCAGCAATTATCTAGGGAGTATATATCTGATGATTGGACACACGTAACTCAGCTGCATGGGATTGGAAAGTGAGTGAAACTGATGCTTTCTTGGTACTGTTGGAAAGATCTGCAAAGTTATTGACTTATTGTAATCCTCCTAAGATGTCCATAACATTCACCCTCAATACATAACTGGTTTGCATTTCATTGTACAGGTATGCTGCCGATGCATATGCAATTTTTTGTACTGGCAAGTGGCACCAGGTAACCCCAAATGACCATATGCTAAATCATTATTGGAAATTTCTTCAAAAGCGCGGCCTCAAGGAAGTTGCTTTGTAAGTTATTAAGTGGTAAGATAAGATTTAGTACTTGATTGTAAGCCAGCCCACTTCTGGAGTTTGGTGTACATATTTATCACTGTAGGGTATAAGTTGTAGAAACTTTGGTGTATATAAGTGTAATTCTACTGTAGTATCTTGTCAGATTGGTAAGAGCAGAGTGTTTATTCTTAACCTATTCTATTACAGAGATATTTTGGTGTTTGAAAAAAAAATAAACTACTGTAATTTACTCATTGAACGGTCAAGTCTGTTGTGTGTTGTCACTTATGGTCCTTGTGGCTCTGGTGAAAGTTTTGACTTTTTGAGCAGGAAACTTAACAGTGTACAAATAGTTACTGTTGTTATGAAATTTGTGAACTTGGTAGAGATCCAATTGAGGTGATCTTAAAGATTTACTCTGTAACTCATACTTTGTTTAAGGTTACAATTTGCATGATCTGATGGGAGAAGAAGTTTTTTGGAGGAAATATTGGAGGGTGAAGATCTGGCCAAAGTGGTTGATTTTGGATGGAAAATTTTTCATACACTAGTAGAAAAATAAATTCGCAGCGAGAAATGGCCACCGAAAAAAATAGGCGGGATATGAGTAAAGAGAATTCACACCGGTTCAAACCAAACTGGTGCGAAATTATATTAATTGCACTGGTTCAAATCGGTGCGAAATAAACAAAAAAAAAATCCGCCCTTATTCTTCCTTCTCTTTCTCTTTCTTTGTTTTCCCACTTCACTTAGCTTCATTCTTTCTCTTTCTCGTTCCCTCCTCTTCGCTCGCCACCTGCACCGGAACCATTGCCGCCACCTGAACTCCCTCCACCACAACCACCTCCTCCACCGCGAGCATCGGAGGTTCCTTTCCCTCTTCATTCTCCTCTTAGCAGCGCCATAGGAGAATAAGAGCCCGAGGTTCGCCACTGCCGCCGCATTCATTTGTTTAATGATGATCGAAGCTCCATTAATGAAGAGAAGGGCAACCACGAAAGAATTTAGGGAAGCCGACACTCCTCCTGGGTTTGCCTCTTCCTCTCTCCTCTTAGGGTTTTGAGTTACATATAGATCTTGAATTTATGATCTGTTAAGTTTTGACATTTTTATTAAATTTACTCTTCCCCCAACATTTAGATTTCCATGATTTATTTGCTCCCCACCCCCCCCCCCCCGCGCGGTAATTTAGGGTTTACTTGATCTGCTTCATTTATCTATGGCAGCCGAGTTTGACCGTTTCACTGATATTATTTTATTTTATTTTTATTTATAATTGCATTTAAGATTTTTGAATTATATGATTACTGAATTGGATTTTGGGCTATAAATGATATGTTTGTGTATAAAAATTATTTGATGAGTGAATTAGCTCCCCTAATATTTATTTTGCTGATTTTTTGATTTTAATAGATCAATTTCTTCCCAATTTCAATTAATTTTGGCTGAGTTAGCTTTAATAGCATATTTTTATATATTTCATTTTAGGGACGAAATTGATTTTTGTATTGTAACTGAATCAGTGATGTGTTATTCAATGATTGTATTAGTTTGTTACCGAAATTTGAGTTTCATTTGATATTTCTAGCTTTAGTAGCAAGGAAGAGACTGTATTGGAGATTTGCTCACGTGATCACCTAGTGAATGTGTCAACTCCTACAGGTCATATTTGGAAGGCCAAGACAGGTAGTCTATATTCATCCAGTTTCTCATGTGAGTTTGTTACTTCTCTAATTTCTGTTGGGGCTCTTCAATCACTTTCTTTGATTTTTACATGTTTGTTGTTGCTCCTTGATAATTTGGTCACCATTTGTTTTGAAGGACTTGATTAAGACTTCTAGAACTCTCTCATCACAAGCTCCACATACCAAACCTCAGCTCAGAAGTTTCCTTGCTATGAGTCTATAAGCCCAATCCTCATATCACAAGGTATGATGCACGGATATGATTTGTGATTTTTATTTATTTTTTTGTGATTATTTTGCTGCATGAAAATCTTCATTTTGTTGGGTGTTGAATGTGTGATGTTGTGTCTCGTGGTGCCTTAGTATGTGTTGGGTTCTGCGTGTTGCTTATATTGCTATTTGTTGCTGCGTTTTATTGTGGGTAAAGTGTTCCTGCTGCTGCTTATGTTTCTTCTTTGTGTGGTGCGTTGCCTGCTGCTTGTGTGTGGGATGTAAAATCTTCTTGAGTGAGTGGAATTTGAGAAGCTGTGTGTTTTTTTTTTTAATCATTTAGTTGCAAGTCTAGAATATTAACAGCCGAGTAACATGGTAACAGTAACACCTTCACGAACTAACCCTGATAACCTTGTGATAATTAAGCTTACTTTATTGTTGGAGTTAGTGGTCTGAGAAGTTTTGTGTGTTTTTCCCGAAGTCTAGAATATAAACAGTTGAGTAACATGGTAACACCTTCACAGGCTATCTTGATACAATTAAGATATGAACCAGGTTACTTTTTGTGTGTTTGGAATAGGTTGTATACATGTGTTGCATTCATTTATCAAAGCTGCTAGTGGCTAACCTATCTCTATTTAGGTTTTTTTTTTTTTTTTTTTTTTTTTTTTTTTTTTTTTTTTTTTTTTTTTCCAACTGTTCTAGAGAGCTATATTACCCAAGCCCTTCATTTCATTTCACCTATAGTACCAATGTTGTCATGTTGGTTACTCTGCAATCTAATATTGGTATGGACACTTGACACACTATTTTGGAAATATAGTGTGGATTTTTCTAATGTCATCTGCAACCTGAGGATATTCATGTCCTACACTACTCGAGTTTTGATTAAGTGTATATACACGAATCATTCAAATTTTTAGGTAATTAATTTCATTATTTTTGTCTTCCTGATATCAGAATTCACTTCTCACATTTCATGGTTTTAATTTCTGGGGTTTTGATTGTGATTGGCTATGTAGGTTGTATAATAGAATTCTACATTCAATTTTGAATCATTGAGGGTTAGGAGGGACTAGGAATGAGGGACTAGAGACTCTGGCCCGCTGCCCGGTGCAGCAACTGCTGCCCTGCCAAGGCTGCTGCTGCAGCTGGCCTGTCAAGGCTGCAGCTACTGCTGCCCTGCCGAGGCTGCTGTTGCAGCTGGCCTGGAAAGGCGTTTGTAGCTGGCCTGGCAAGGCTGCTGATGCTGCTGCCCTGCCGAGGCTGCTGTTGTAGCTGGCCTGGCAAGGCTGCAGCTACAGCTTCCCTGCCGAGGCTGCTGTTGCAGCTGGCCTGGCAAGGCGGTAGCTACTGCTGCCCTGCCGAGGCTGCTGTTGTAGCTGGCCTGGCAAGGCTGCAGCTACAGCTTCCCTGCCGAGGCTGCTGTTGCAGCTGGCCTGGCAAGGCGGTAGCTACTGCTGCCCTGCCGAGGCTGCTGTTGTAGCTGGCCTGGCAAGGCTGCAGCTGCTACTACTCTGCCGAGGTCACTCTAAGTTGTAAATTTGACATTTGATTTTTTTTTTTAGCTTACATTTGATTTTTTTTTGGTTCAATAACTTTCTCTATTCATTAGGTAAAAGCATTCCTACATTTTGCAGGAAAAAATTGCTGCTTTAACACCTCAAGGGTGGATTTATACCTTGAATACAAGCCCCATCCCTCATCAGCCAAAAACATAAACCATCTTTTTTCAAAGTAAGTGTTGTGAAGCATTTTTCTTCTATACAGAGATTTTACTTTTAATTATATCTTTTTGGCTGCAAGTAGCACTTGCATATACGGTTTCATATACTTCCTCCCTGAGCTTGGTTTTATTTTCTGCATCCTGTACTTGTCCAGTTTCCAAATACTAGTGTGGTGGTTTGTGAATACCAGACCCCCTGCTGCATGCTGCTCTACTGCTCTCGCTGCTGCTAATCTGCTCTACACTACTGTTTACAATATTAAACTTGTAATTTTTTTTTCTTTTTTGACTTAAAAATTGTCATATTACAGCTTTGTGTTGATGGAAATTATAAGTTTATATATATATATATATATATATATATATATATATATATATATATATATATATATATATATATATATATATATATATATATATATATATATATTTATGTTAGTGTTTATATGTCAATTATATTGAAAAAATGCAAAAAAATAAAAATAAAAAAAAATATAAAAAATAAAATTATACATTATTTTTTATTTTTTTATTTTTAAAAATTATTGAAGAACCGGTGCGAAGATTAAGAAATGCCACCGGTTTTTGAACCGGTGTGAAAGTTTCACTTTTTAGCATCCCTCAAATCTAAACCGGTTCAAAACCGATTCGGATTTATGTTTTTCTACTAGTGAATAACAGGTTAGCTACTAGGTATAACCTGAGGAAAAGAGGTATATAAGTGGAGGGAAGATGTGTGCTAGGTGATCAGACTGAGGAATCAGTGAGACTTCTCTTTAAAGAATGCCAAATTGCCCAAAGAATTTGGGCAGCTAGCCCACTAGGGCTAAATGCAATGGCAAACCTGAACACCTGTTGCACGCGGTGGTTCAGAGGGTTCACAAGAGATTCCATGTACTATTCTCACAATTCTATGGGTGATATGGTCCCACAGAAATGATATTATATTCAGAGGCATGAGTGATAAGCCCCAAGTAATACTGGAGCTTGCATAGGTACATGAGACAGGGAGCAGAAAAAAACAGATTACTTGTAATAGTAAAGTAGGCAAAATCCCGCATATTTTTGTAACAGGTACTCCTTCAAGGAGCCGGACTTTATCACTTGTTGTGGATGTATCTTGGAAGAAGAAAGCTGGGAAAAACAGGCCGACCAGGATGGCAGGCAACAGTGGAGTGGGCTGCCGTCAGCCAAAAACACGAGGAAATCCAAGGCTAGAGGAGAATTCATGCTACTTCAGCTGAGTAGGCTGAAGGGTATGCAGTCTGGTGGGCGATCCATGAAACCCACAAGAACTTCAAAAATATAATTTTGAAGACAGACTGTGAATCAATGGCGAAGACACTCAAGTCTCCAGGCACGGCCTCAACGGAGCTGAAAACCATAGTCTATGATATAGTACATATGCTGCAGGAAGTAGCCTATTTCATGTGTATCAAAGTGGACAGAAGTACGGTACAGAAGGCCCATGAGCTAGCCTTAGCTATGAGGAAAGCCTAACTAGATCTTTCTGTACCTCTATCTCGTCTGATTTGTTATAACCTTTGTCTAAAAAAAACTATGTTATATCCCGTTAACCTGTTATATTTATTATTGCTGTACTATATTAGGCGCTAAGCTATGTGTTGAACTGCTAGAGTACTATATTTGATCCTTAGTTGCGTGGATTGGGGCCACTAGGCGGGATGTCGAACCCATTGAAAGGAGCTTTGTAGAAGAGTTTGATGCCCTGAGATTGCGCCCGATCGGGGTAAATTTCGGGGTTGGAGCAGTCTATAAATATGACCTTTGTCTTTTGAATTCATTATTTTTTATTTGAGAAAAAGATTGAGATGTAACATAGAATAACAGCAACCCTAAACACATATACCTTCCATGTCCCATAAAGATCTGCGTAGTTCTTGAAGTAATTCCACCCTTTAAATCGGGGTACGGAGTTGGAAGGTAAAATAATCTTCTAGGGCAGCCATAAAGTAAAAACTTGTTATAATTTACAATTGAGTGTCATTTTCTTCAAAATATGTATAGCTCTGAACAAATTTTATAATCACAACAATTATAAATGAAAAAGATGTTAGGATCACAAAAAATCACTAATTGCATTTTTTTTTTGGAGTTTTTATTACAAGAATAAAATTTAACGGGAAAATTCAAGTTTATCTCTGTGATAAACTTGAAAATATATCTCTTCTCACAATATATTGTTTTATGTTTATTTTCAAAATAATAAAAGTGAAATAATAAAGTGACATAGAAATCAATGCGAGAAATTGTGAAGGGAAATTAACTTGAAATGTTAATCTCAGAGATTAATTGGGGCTCCCTCAAATTTAACCTTTTGCCTCTTGCACTCTCCAATTTCCCATCACTATTTTAATTGTTGTTTGCTTCAATTACAAAGCGACTTGTTGCGTTACAAATTTGATCTTTTACACAGGTCAACTTGTCATTTCTCTTGCCTTGTGTTACTAAGAAAGAAGTGTAGTCCGTATTGTTGTAACATTTATGCGCAAGAGCAAGCCACGATATTAAAACAATTTCATCAACATTAATCGATTTTTTTTATCTCCTGGAATTGAGAGTGGAGTTCTAAACTTCTAACCATCAAGGTATCCCTCGCTCTCAAGTCTCAACATTGTCGAATTTGGTAGCCGTTATCGCATTACATAACAGTCACCTTTCAAAGTTGTTAATCCAACTCTGACAATGGCGAAAATGGTAAGCACAACAACATTCTGTGTATCATCATTCAATTCGAAACCCAGAAAAAGCATTCTGATATCCTCAAAGGGGAAGGGCGCTGCTCCTCTCCTCTTTCCCGCTTCCTTTCTCTCTCCTCACAAATCCCAACGTCGACCCATTTCGTTACAATCCAAAGCATTCGGCAAATCAACCTCCACACCCAAAACAGACAATGACAAAACCCAGAAACAAGAAATTGAACAAGATGAAGAAATTGAAGTTGAAGAAGATCTTCCATGGATACAAGAAAAGGCTTTGGATTTGGTCGAATTTACTGGTTCTGTATCTCAAGCTATCCCTGGTCCACGAGTTGGCCAGACCTCTTTCCCTTGGTTTCTTGCTGTTCCTTTAGCTGTTTTGGGGATTACTTTTGTTACTAGCTTTCTTAAGGCTCTTAACAAATTCACTTCTCCAAGAGAAAAACGCCGTAAATTGGTACTTGAATTCCTGCATTTTATTTAGGTTTTATTTTTATCTGGGTTTCTATTGATTGATTGCTTTCCTATGTTTTCAATGTTTTGTGTTTTGAATTGGGTGTGCTTTCATTTTTTTTTTTTTTATTATGATTATGTAAGTTAATTTTAACTTGTTTAGCTCTAATGGAGTGATATGGGGTTATACAAGCCCTAATTTTGTACAAGCTGGAGACTCAAAGAGTTTGACATTTGTTTAGGTTATTTTTTTTTTAATACTCATAGTCAAATGGCATCAATTAGACTTTAAGCTCGTCTCATCTTCTGTATTAGAGAACCCCAAAAAGCATTAGCACTGAAAGTGCACTAGTTATAAACCCATTTTGATGAAGTTCTGTTTTGGTGGTGTACTGAATGCAAATTTTGATTCCTTGCTGCCACCCCAACGCAATACAAGTAATTTAGTTGTTTGTGTTTCCCATAGCTTTGTGCCGAATAGGGTTGCAAGGTTTATGTGAAGGATGCTTGCTATTTCTTAATGAAACTCAAGTGGTAGGATTATGAAAGTTAAAATGTGATGGAAATTATGATTGATATGGTGCCCATCTTTCTCTGTATGTACTGGCTTTTGGCTTATTTGGACATTTTGCAAAGAGTGATTGTTGGATTTAAACTGCAGGTAAGGAAAAATGCCACACTGAATAAGTCAATTGATGAACTCTTTGAGAAAGGCAGAGATGCAGTTCAGTATTCTGCGTTGGAGGATATTGTGAAAAAGGTGAGATGCATGCTTCTAAGTAATTGTTCAGCAGGGAAAAGAGAAAGAAACAGACACTTGCCTTGTTCAAATTTTTTAGAAATTATGCATTAGAACATTTTGTATAAAATAATTACTGCGTTCAATGGCAATGACATATGTGCCCAAAAGATTAACCAATTTACGAGCTTTTAAGTGTAAAAATATTACTGTCGGAGATTTTCTTTCTTCTTTTATTCAATGTAATTTGATATGCTTATATTATCCGTTCTTCAATTAGAGGCTTATCATCTAAGATAGTCTTTTAATATTATTTACAGTAATATCTTTTATTATAAGCCTGTTATTGTTGTGTCAATCAGGCCCGTCTCAATTATTATGGCAGCCATGTGCTGTGTCAAAAAAATTGGGCCCTCAGTTCGTGATTTTTTTTTTATCAAAGTTATGCTTTTGGGAAGCTTTGGTTGCAAGATATGCCCTATGCAATATAGAATTCCACCCAACCCCCCCCCCCCCCCAAACACAAATAAGTGTCATTTGAAATCTGAAATCCCGTAGAAGTGGTCTGTGATTTTGCATTTTTGCAGGTGCTATTCATCGACAGGTTGTTATAGGAAATGCAGTAGTATCCGTTTAAAAGGGGGTGGATTCTAGATGCTTGAACAAATATACTCCCATTCTTTGTAAAGCTAAACCACCATAAAAAAAGGCATTAATTCCTAATCTAGAAGACAGGAAGGGGATGGGAAAAAAAGGTTACACCATGCAATTATAGTGACACGTGTCACTAGTGTTGTTTGCTTCTTGTCTCTTTGGAGCTTGCCTCTCCAACAACTAGTCTTCTACTTTATTTGTGGTACCTTACTTTGTCTGGGATATTCTTTCCTTGTGGATGCATTGAGAGGGATCTATTACTTGCATTGTCAATTTTGAAGGCAAGGTTGAAAGAAAAAAATTATTGTGGATGGAGGATATCTTATATAATGATATGCTGCATTGTGATAATGATTAGCTGAATAAACTTTGTGGGAACGCTCTTTTTATTTTTATTTTTTTATTTCCTATGTATAATAGTTGAAGATACACATGTTGCTGTCAACCTCTCAAACATGATTTTCAGAAACTCTAATGTGCTTTTGCTGTTTTGCATGCTCAAGTTTTTCATGCTATTGTAAAATTTGATATTTTTCAGACAGGTTTTAGCATGGAGGATGTTCTGCGGAAGTACCTTCGTTATGCATTCAATGATAAACCATTCAATGGAGACACGGTTGCAGACCTGATTCAACTAAGGAAAGCCTCAATGTTGAGTGACTCCCAAGTTGCTGAAATTCTAAATGATGTATCAAGACGTATTGTGAAGGACAAAGGTATTTCCTGTTTAAAAAAGTAAATACCTGGTTTTATCTAAGTTTCCCTCATCTCCTTGTAATCTTAGATTGTTGTCAGATTGACTAGATTTGTGCGGATTTACCATGTTTTATATTCATAAATCGGTCTCCTACTTAAAATCAATAACTTTCAAGCTGCTAGTTGCTCTATATTGTTGTGGATGTAAGTCTTGGCTTCTTCTTGGTTACTTCATACTTATATGGAATTTCTGAGTACATGATGCTGTCCATTTGTGCTCTTGTTTTAAGAGTATAAAACACAACAACATATGTATCATGATGGTTGATGACATTTTTTTCATTATCAGGCAACATATCTCTTGGTTGTGCTATGTATATGTGTGTGTGATACTTGCCACGGTTTGTGGGTTGTGAGTTGTGACCCTCATAAAAGGTAGAGTTGCTACCAATGAGTATGAGAGATGTAAAACTATTCAAGTGTATGTGACCACTGACTCCTCACGTATGTGAAATGTGATTAGGTATTATTAACATCTCATGGTGTGAGAATGCAATTCCATCTTGATTCTAGAGGGGTTGAGGACAATGAGCATAAACAAACATCTTGATTAACTGAGAGACTCTAGTTGGGATTTTCGGGAGGGCATTGTAAGTTGTATGTGAGAGAGGATATGCAACTACTCAGTCCAAAAGTTGCACTTGTTGGGACACATGTATGGAATTAGTGTGGTTAACTGGTTATCGGACAGGAACTAAATGGTGTAAAACATGGACATAGAGTTGTATTTAATCTACCTTTGCATCTTGTCATATTGTGGTTAGATATTGGATTGTGATTCTATGATTTTTCCATTAATTGTGTATTTCTGTTTTTAATGAAACTTCCATTCCCCTACATACAATTAGATGTAAAGCAATTAAAGCAAGCATTATGCATGTATGTTGTCCCTTTTGTGTCACTTGGAAGTTGGAACATTGGTCCTTTATGGTCAATGCATCCAAAAAACTGCCTCTCTATGGATCTTTCAAACTGATTATCCATATATCTCTGATATTATTTCCATTTCTTTAGGTCCTGTTGTCATGGATGCTTCAGGTTATACTGAAAGGGGTTTCAAGAGAAAGCTTGCTGTGCAGGCTCTTTTCGGAAAGGTTTTCTATTTATCTGAGGTAAGCTTCTTTGCGTTGAATCTATAAGCTTATTTGTTCCATCAATTTTTAGATTTTATTTCTGGTTCAGCTTTTGCATGGATGATTGCGAAATCCCCCATCCACCCCCAAGGAAAGGAAAAGGTTGTTAGAAAAATCTGTTACGGAGGACACATTTTCAATTATATAGATTGGTTGCTCTATCCCGCCAATGGGTTTCCCGCTGCCAGTCCCTGGATAGAGGAGGGTTACGGTAGGCTAGTGTTAGCCAATGTAAAATTTTGTCACATCCTGCTTGACATGAACCACAATGATTGAGTAGTACTAGGATGGGAGACCTCCTTGGATTTCCTTATGGTTGTTCATGTAGCCGACCCCACTTATGGGATTAAGGCGTTCAAGCAGAAGAAGAAGAATAAGAAGAGGTTTCTCTATCCCCTGTAACTGTTCTGATTCTGAAGATATTTTCTGAGTGCTTTAGATACTGTAGCTATGAAGAGCATGGCTGAAATTGCAGGTTGTTGAATCTCTGAAACTGTTATCTATTCAAACCAGCCAGAATACCAGATACTTGAAAAATGCCCAATGATAATGGGGAAAGATTAGGCCTTCTGATATATGATGAGTATTCAGAGGACAGTTTGACTTAGAACTTCACTCATTCTTGTAAACAGTGATAACTTGTATGATTTGTAGGATTCAGCCAAAAAATCCATTTCTTCTCAAATCAGATTCCCAAAGCACTAGATTTAAGGAAATGGAAAAGAAGAATAAGCCTTGAATCCAATGCCTATAAATCTAGGGCACATAGTTTTGTCAAAATGGTTCCCAAGGTTTTGTTCTTCTCAGCTTATTTAAATAAGTTCTAGGTGTTCAACATAAAAAGATTAAAAAAAAAAAAAATTAAAATTTAAGCAAATTTGAACTGAGGCAAATAGAGCCTAAGAAACAATCCTAATTTAATTACCTTTTATTTTGTTAAAAGATTATTATGTAATTGTCATATTGTCTTTGAATAACTTGCGCTTAATGCTCCACTTTATTCTTAGCAGTTTCCATACGCACAAACTCTCCCTCTCTTTGAAGTATATCCGATGTTAATTTATTTGCTTCTTCAAATATGTTTCATTAATCCCTCTGTCCTCAGTTTGGATCCTCGTATTTTCAATTGTTTGTCAACTTGATAGATTTATTTTATAATTTTTTTTTATTGATACCCCATATAGGGGTAACAAGATTAAAAAAAAAAGGTTGAAGATATACAATTGTTCAAGAGGTACAATGTAGTATATGCTTGTTGCTCCCAATCATTGTAGCAATTACTATTTAGAATCGGGATTAAAGGTGTTGCAAATGGTTTACTTGGGGTTTCACCGCCTAATTTGCATATTCTGCTTAAGCTGGAGAGATTTCCACATGAACCCCTGTTAATGATCATGCTATTGACTGGATCTGGGAGGTCTTGATGTACTACCTCACTGCTCGTTAGAGCCCTTGTACCTATATAGTGAAAACTTTCTTAAGATCAGACCTGTAAACTGTTAAGTAGCTTCAATTTGCGTAAGAGTTGTAGCTTTGAGAATTTGTATTACTTGACTGCTTGTTAGAGCCCGTATGGCGAGTACCATTGAAAGTAACAATATGGTCAAATGAGAAAACCTACTGGTTTGCTACTTTGCTGACCTTTTCAATGTCCTTGATTTTGCCCCAGAAAATCAGTACTATTTTAGTCATGATAGGACTAACAGGCTATATGGAAGTTGATTTATTCCTGCACAAATGCCCACCCTTGCACTCTCACGTAGTTATGCTTTGATTGTGATGCAGCTTTCAGAGTTCTGTGCTAGGGACAACTCTTTAATTGTGAAGGAAATTTTTGGAGTTACAGAGTAAGTCTTGTGCTCTAATTATATCATTATTTCTATCTGTTCTTATTTTTTTCCATTTTCTTATTTTTTGGCTGCTGAATTTTGCAGTGAAGATGCAGACAAGCTACGGATAGACACCCTCTCACACTCTGGAGACATAGAAGCCCTTGAAAAGATGATTGAAGATGGATCTGATTCAGAAGATAATGATGAAAGCTCAGAATAAGCTGATATAATCGAGGTGTATATTCCTACGTTATAAGAGCTTTTGTGTTCCCTAATTTGATGGTCTTTTAACCGATTATCAAACTACTTAAGATCTGCTTTCTGTAGAAGCTGAGCAAGTTCCTTGAAAATTTTTGTGGCATTTGAAAGAGCTTTTCTTTGAATAATATTCCCTCCAAGCTAAGGCTCCAATTTATACAGTTTTTTTTTTTTTTTTTTTTTTTTTTTGCAAGTGTGTGGCATCATGAGAAGTCATGGGCTTCTTGTTGCTTTAAATTGCAATACCTTGGAGCTGATATTTTTATGTGCCTGATATGACTTGACTTTTCAGGGAAAATGTAGCTGGCTTGCAGTCACATATTTGATGGGATTTTTGTTGCCAAGAGCAGGTAACCTTAGAGCATCTGGTGGTTGTCCACTCGTACTCAGGTTACCCTCTTTGGTTATGCATACAGTTTCTGGGAATTATTGATTACAATCATGAAGGGGATGTAATAACCTAGGTCATTTGTTTGAAACAGTCTTGACTTTCTCTGGCAGGGAAATCAGGCAAATTTGGAATACTGACCTAATCCTTAGAAGGGAGCTGAAATCAAATTATAAATCAATTTGCAGGCTAGCTGCTTTAGTTCTAGTGAGTTTGATTTTTTATTTTTCTTATAACGAGGTGACTTTGATTTACGCCTTTTACGGTCTATATGTATTTCATCAATTTCTAATGTTAATTTCCCCACACTAATGTGAGCTTGTTATATTAGTTTTACGTAGTAGATAGTACTACCCTCAACAATCAACACGGAAGGAGTTGTTTTTTTATGCCCGGGAAACTATGTATTGCTCTAACTAACTTTTACAACTCGTTAGTATATCTTGGAGTCTTCATTCTCTAAACACTCTAATCTATAACGCCAATCCATTTTTTTTTTCATTTAATTGTTGTCCGATTTAACTCTAAACATTATGAAAGCCGACAAATGATTATGAAATTATAATGGGTGGTTTATACACACGGTTGTACGATGCGCATCGTACACACGCCCCAAAACGACATCCCTTAATAAGTGAAACGCAAAATAGTAATTCATGGTTAAAAAGGCGGAAAGAACATCAGTAACAATGTAAAGAACATGTGGATTTTAAAGAACATTACGATGGAAACAAAGAACGCGTGAAATAAGGAGGTAATTTTGGGTAGTTACGGCCCATGTGTTACTGCCCACAGTAATTGTAAAAAATCATTTGGTAAAAATAATTTCCCAAAAAATCTTTCTCTCTCTAGAATCTCTCTCTCTATATTCTCTCTAAAATTCTCAAAATTTCAAAACCCTAAGATTTTTCACCCATCAAATTCACAAGAATTAACCTCTAAAAATTCAAAATTTGTGCAATCAACTAAAGAATTTTGATATAATGGCTGATTCTAAGGAGTTGTAAGTGGCATGCAATTGTTTTTAATTTTTTTTTTCCTTTTTTGTTGGGTTTGGCGAGGAACTATCATCTTCGTAGTTCTTGATTTGTAAGTGGCTGATTCTACTGCTTATTTGTTTAATTTGTTTGATTATAATTTTTTTTTTTGGGTTTTTGAAACAATAGTATTGAACAAGAGAAGGGAAGTGAGCATGAAATCGGAGCTACGAATGAACCTCAAAACGCAGACGCAAGGGTCGAGGTTGAAGACGATGCTACTCTAAATCAGTTTCTGCAAGGTAGTGGTAAAAAAACCGTACACTCCATCTGTAATTGGTCCAATTGTAGATCCCGCGCTTCTAGATGAGATTGCAAAAGAAGATGATGCTTCAAAGTGAGTTAAAAAAGTTCTCTTTATGGATTTATAGTATGTCCTTGTTTTGTTTTTTTTATGTTTTTATTTTTTAGTACTTCAATGTACTGTCAACTTCATTAAAAATGGTAGATCTGTATGGTAGGGTCAATTTTTAAAGTATTATTTAAGTGTATGTTCTCTATATGAAGGTGTTATGTTCTTTTGTTAAATCGTTGTGTACTTTTAATTTGAAAACAATTAGTATTGTTCAATTCACTTTTGATGTTCCCTAAAATTCAGCATTATATTCTCTTTAGTAGGCATATATGTTCTTTTAGATTGAATCTATGTGTATTCATTTTTTATAAATTGATTGTTCTTTTTAATGCATATGCTATGTGTGTTGGTGGTTTTATGGGTTTTAGGTTGGGATTGTGGCTGGGTAGGTATGGTGGGGTTTCGAGTTGGGTTGGGGTGAGAGGTGGAGGTGGTGGACTGGTAGGGGAGTGGTGGGTGGCTGGTTTGGTTCAAGTGCAGGGGAGTATTGGCCCCTCAATGGTTTCCAAAGATAATTCCTTGAAATTCAATTGCAAGTTCAAGTTATATTCCAAAGTAGTGGTTCACAAAAAATTCTATCCTAAAGCATAAAATAATTTGACACTGTGACTACATTTTAACATAGTTTACTTATAGTAATCTGATCAAAGTATGCTTTGTCATAGAATTTCATGTGATGACTTATTAATTATCAGATTAGCTTCTGTCCAAAACTTGAAATTCCACCCTAAAGTTCATAGTCAACCATTCAAGGAAGACAATATCATGGCATGTCTGCCGCTAGAATCCCAAGTCTCCTACTAAGTCTATTCCAAAGTAGAATCCCAAGTCTCCTACTAAGTCTACATGTATGTCTTGTAATGCCTATGATATATTAGTTCTTTTGTAATGCCTATGTCATGTATGTTTAGTGTTCCTTTTTATTTGGTTTTACACATAAGTTGAGTGCGTTTTTAATTGTTGTATAATATTTTTAGGAATTTAGATGTTCAACCATTGGAAGTGAAGGATGAAAAGGCAGAACAACAACATGAGGAGAAAGGTTCAAAGAAGAAGAAAGACTATCATTTCAAACAAATTGCTACTAAAAAAAGGTGTGTAGAATGTATATAATTTTCTTTTTAATAGGTTTGTATGTTTTTTTTATTTTAAGACATGTTCTTTATGATTTCATGCACATAGCAAATATATTTAAAACATGTGTTCTTTTTTTTTTGTTCTTAATATTACAGGAAGAAAGTTGTTGAGCATACCACTGAAGAAAAAAGGCAAACTGTTCAACAGGAAGGAAAAATAATGTTGAAAAAGAGGAGGGCTCCATTGGGAGAGCCTTACTTTCCAGTCAAGGAGAAGCCTGAAGCTGGTGCTGCTCAATCAGCTTCACAATCTAAGGCTCAAAGTACAATAGTGGAAGTGTCAAAGGACATTCCAAGAAAGAACAATAAGGATAAAGGACTTGTTGTTAGAGAGAAAAAAACTGATGTAGCTGAAGTGGATGTGGGTGAACAAGGAGAAATAAAGGAGGAATTTACAACATCCCAAAGGCACACTGTACAACCTTTGCTGAATCTAATAAGGGGATTGGAGCAACAAGAAGAGAAGCTGCAGGCTATAAGAGATATGGGATTTGGAGGTATACTACACCTTGATATGCCTAGGAGCTCCCCTAATTTTAATGCCACATTGGTTCTGAATGTGGATGCTAATGAGGTGTGCATTGTATGTGCTAGAAATAGGACAATAGACATCAAACCTGTTGATGTTCATTTGGTGTATGGTTTGCCTATGGGAGGGAAAGTGATAGTTGAGGCGGCAAATGAGAATGAGGAGATGGTGATGGTGATGAGAGAATTGAAAGCTTATCATGGTGGTGGTGGAATTCCAAAATTCTCGGCTTTGGTTGATGACTTGTTGGAACCAAACAACCCACCAGATGATAGATGGAAGAGGAGTTTTTTATTGCTAGTGGTGAATTGCTGCATTAAGTCTGTGGCTAACACACAACCCTTATTCAAGTAATGTTCTTTATTCCCTAAACTAATGTTCTTTTAGCTAATTATTTGTTATGTTCTTTTATATACATAACATGTTCTTTATATGTAACTGTAATGTTTTTTAGAATAATATATTTGTTACTTATTATATATTGTATGTTATGTTCTATTTTATAAAACTATATGTTCTTTTGTTAATTCTGACATGTTCTTTAGTATTATATATGATGTTCTTTCTTATATTTTGTTATTTAATTGGCTAGATTCATTCACACAGCTGTTGACACAAGTCAAATTTCAAGTTTTGATTGGTGTTCTTACACAATACAAAGCTTGATTGAGAGTTCTATTTACTATCAAGGAGATGTGAAGAGATACTTTCCTGGTCCACTACCATTCCTTATGGTAGTTTCCACTTTTATTTATTCTTTTATTTAAATATTTTGTATATAGATATATATGTGTTTATCGTACTGGGTTTTTTGTTAACAGGTTTGTTACTTTGATCGACTACAAAGGAAAAATATCATTATGCCTAGACAAATTCCTTTAATCAAAGAATGGGATAGTGATAAAATAGCAAAAAGAATTGCTATTGAGAGGAAGCTTGGCTTTGGGCTTAGCACACTGTTGGATAGAATTGAGATCCAAGATGGTTGTGGCCAGCCTTTAGCTATTGAAGGTGTAGTGGACCAACAACAGCAACCGCAACAGCAACAATAACAGCAGCAACAACAACAACAACAACAACAGCAGCAGGAGGAACAACATCAACAACAACAACAGCAGCAACAACAAGTTCAGGAGGAACAACAACAACAACCTCAAGAACCTTCTAATTTACAGGTAAGCATTTTATAATTAAATATATAAAGTATGTTCTTTAATGGTTAAATATTATGTTCTTTAATGGTTAAACTTGTGTTCTGTAATGGTTAGACTTATGTTTTTTTCCAACTAATTACATGTTATTTTGCTTTCTAATTAAGCATGTATTTTTTTTTAATTTTCAGTGTTCTCTAATGACTATGGTTATGTTCTTTTTTATTCCTTACATGTTCTTTTATTTTCTAATTCAGCATGTGTTATAATTTTTAGTGTTCTTTCATGATTATACTTATGTACTTTTTTATTAATTACATGTTCTTTTTTTTTCTGTACTTTGTTCTTTTGTAGGAATACACCCATTTGCTACGCCAAGCAACAGAAACAATTGCTTCTGGCTTTGTGAACCTCTCCAAAATTCTTAAGATGGGAGAGAGGTTCCATAATAGACCTATTGATGGGGATGCCACACTGTACAATGTAGCTGCAATGTGGTCCAGACTTTCTGGCATTAAATTGTCGGAAAATTTGAACAAGTATGTCTTTTTGAACAAGTATGTCTTTTTGAAAATTTGGTGGATGTTGAACAATTATCACTGTTTATTTTTTGTATAGTTGGGGCTAATAAACTTTGGAAGCATATTGATTTGGAAGAAAGAATAGAATGAACATGTACAATGTTCTTTATACAACATGTGTTCTTCTGATTTTATGCAATGTTCTTTTGATTACAAACAATGTTCTTTTATTAACATATAATGTTCTATTGATTACATATAATGTTCTTTTAAAAACATCTGATGTTATTTTTGTTCAGTGAAATTTTATTTCTAGTTATTTTGCATCATATGTCTTATAAACTAACACAAAATATGTCTTTTTATAGGCCACATTAACCACCATTAATATGCAAAATATGTCTTGTTAAAAAAAAAAACTGAAATAGAGTGTTCTAATTTATAAGATCTTATTAAAAAAAATTTAAAAAAAATATAAGGACAAATATGAAATAAAAAAAATTGTTAACGTAGACTAAATAGTACATATCATTTATAATTCTCTAATATTCACTCCAAAATAGTCATCAGGCTCAAAAAACTCCAAAGATCCTCCAAATTCGTTGGAATGTGCCAGAACATTTCCATCAGGTACAGGGAGGAAATCCTTCCAAAAAAAAAAAAAAATTATTTAAGTAAAAGAACAATATGTATAAAATGAAAGAACAAGTTATAACCATAAAAGAATGTAATATAACATAATTAAGAACAATATATACCTTAATCGTAGTCTGTGCTTTTTGTTTCATCTTTGAAACACCCTTTGCGCTTTTCTTTCTCCATGACTTTATCTTTTGACCTTTGAGCTTGTTGGAAACCTTTTCCTGTGTGCTTTTCCACCTAGTATTCTTTTGACCCTTTTTCCTTTTTTTGATAGGATCCTTGACATCTACCTGAACTGTGTGTTCTTTAACAATGCCTCCATGTTCTCTTTCAAAACCTCCATGTTCTTTTTCAAGTCCTCCATGTTCTTCAGCCAATTCCTCAAATATTACTGCTGGTTCTAATAGACTGCCATCACCTTTTTCTTGAGTAACATCTTGTTCATTCGTTTTTGATGACTCAGGTGGCACATCTTTATCTTCTCCCATCAAGAGATTAATCCTAGCAGTGCATTCTTCAATTGCTTCCTCAATGACAGCTCGAGCACTCAAGTCATTCCGTGCTCGATCTACAAGTGTGATAAATGTACGAATATGATACAATCTCCATATACTACAAGGAGTGACACCCATTTCAGCAACATCATTGTCATCAACTCTAGTGCACATAACAGCTTTTGTCCATCTCTTGCAAATGTATCTCTTCGGGATATAAGTAATGTTGTTTAAGTGTAAGACACGAAGTGAGTGCTTGCACAACAAACCTACCTCACCAAAATATTTGCAAGTACAATCAACTGTAACTGTTGATTCATCAAATGCAACAGTATGCATGATCAAATCCTTTTTTGGATGCCCAACATGATATTCATAAAGTGGAGGTTGAAATCCTATTACCTTTGCCGTGCAGGGAACACCATTGACAAAATTGTCTTCAAAATGTAAATAGATTTGAATAGTATAAATCTTCCTTGCATGCTCCAACAATCCAATATCTGCCCAAACTAAATGACGATTTCCAGTCATACTATCATAATCATTACTACCTTCTCTACTCCTCCACTCATCAACAACCTCAATAAAAGTAGTGTAGAAATCACATAGACCATGAGTGGCATGTAGTCGACGGGAAACTGATTTGTTAGTAGTTTCACTCCTCTGAGATGACATAACACCGCCACTAAAATAATCTTTGGAATATGCAGGACACCACATCTCTTTGATATTATACAGATTTTGCAGCCATTTATTATCTGTGCATTTGTACGTTTTCTGCATGCTGTAAAATAAAAGAACATCATACTAAGTGAAAAGAATGTCAAATATAATAGAAAAGAACACCTGTCTACTTAATTCCAGCACATTAAGTTCACTTCACAAGAACATCAAATATATGATAAAAGAACATTAAACGAACAACACAAGGAACATTATTTTAAGTAAAAAGAATGTCACATGTAATAAAAAAGAACATCTCTCTATATTAATCCAGCATATTGGGTGTACTTGAGAAGTACATCAAATAAATTACAAAAGAACATTAAACATGAAAATAAAGAACATCGTCTAGCAACTTAAAGAACATTGAATCAGTAAAATATTTAAATAACATAATTTTAAAATTATTAATTCATAGCGTTACCTTGACCAATAGTGCTCGAATTCTTGAATAGTATCGGTATACTTCAAAACAATATCAAACAAATCATTAAAACCTTCCTTTGCTCTAAGTCCTTTGATATTTTTCTTTGCATTCTCCCCAATATGCCACGTACATAGTCGATGTCTGGAATTTGGGAAGACAACCTTAATTGCTTTGGCCATTGCTTGAGCTTGGTCAGTCATTATTGTCACAGGATGTTTGCCACCCATGGATTTCAAAAAAGTATTGAACAACCACTCAAAAGATTCCCATTTTTCATTGATCAAGAAGCCAATACCAAACATGACATTATTGTTATGATGATTCATACCAACAAAAGGTCCACAAATCATACCATATTTGTTTGTACGGTACGTTGTATCATGGACTAATAAATCACCAAAAGCATCATAATCTACCTTCATTCTATTATCACGAAAGAAGAAAGATTGCAAATGACCTTTTTCATCAACATCAAAGTCATAAAAAAAGTCATACTCACTAGATTTCCTCTCCTTAAAATAGCTAAGCAAGCGCTTTGCATCACAACCGTCAAACATCATTTTCTTATGTTGGGATAAAGCACCATACACATCCCTACAAAGAAATGAAAGATTTGCCTCTCCACCAGCTTGATGTTTTAAAACACGCACTGCATCAGCAACAGGTATACTACTCTCAGTCAAGCTACTCATCATCACAACTTGTTCATTAGTAACCTGTGTACATATAAAAAAACACATTGTTTCAAAAAAAAGAACATCATGTATTTGTTAAAGAACATATATTGCGCATTTAAGAACATGATTTAAAATAATTTTAAAAATTGTACCATTACCTTCCTATAAGACCTAATCAAATGTCTCTTTGAAACAGGAACCCTACTATGATTATGAACCATAGTGTGATTGACCACGACATACAAACCAGACACCTTATCAATATCAAACTGTATATGAGCCTTGCAACCTGTGCGGAAATTCCTCTTTTGGTAAACTTTTGATTGTTCACCATGCTTCTTCTCTTGCTTAAAGCCAGCAAAAGAACACACCAAAAAGCGCTGCCTAGGTGTCCTATCTTTGTCATCTCTACGATTCAACCTATCTTTACGTATACCAAAACCATGTTTAAATGCATAACTATTATACAAATCATAAGCCTCTTCATCAGACTTAACTTTTCTGTCAAATAATTCTGATTCAGTTGCCTCGGTAAAACCTGAAATAGGATATCAAAATACATATATATTAAGCTGATGTTCTTACATAATAACATGATGTTCTTTTAAAGGTATAAAATGTTATTTAATATATTTGTAATGTTCTTTATTAAATGCACATTGATAACGGCACATTAATTACAGAAAATACAAAACAGAGTACAACAAAAGTACACGACTCTTTCAGGAAAGTACATTCCATTACAATAAAAGTATATAAAGAGTACTACAAAGTACCTATATAATTAACAATTGCACATGCACTAATAAATAAAATCAACATTGATTTCAAATTACATATAATAACAAATAAAAAAGAACATATGTAAATAATAAAAGAACTTCATCTTCAACCTCATGAAAATCACTGTGAAATTAAAAATATAAAGTAATTCGATAATAAAATTAAAATTATTAGTAATAACTAAATCTAATAATCAAAATTAATGATTAACAAATGAAAAATATAATGAATTAAACAATTCACCTTCATTGAGGTTTACGATACCCTCGACTTCACCTTCATCGTTGATATCATAATCATTTGCATCATCGACAAATCTAGCATTAGAATCATGGCGAAATTCAGATTGATAAACCATTATTAACTTCTTTTACAACGAATTCAAATGATTAATCCTCAAAATTTTCTCTGTAATTCTCTCTCTGTAATTTTCTCTCACTAAAAAGTTTGAAATCTCTATGATTTTCCCTCTCTAAATCTTTTTTGAAAATATCAGTTAACAAAAATTAGCAAAAACTGAAAGCTATAAAATCGGCAACAATTTAGCAAAATCCACGTGATGTTAAACTGTCTCCTTTTTTTTTTTTTTTTTTTTTAAATTCCCGTAATTAGAAATTAATGGAATTAATCCTGCCAACTCAGCAGGTGTACCATGAGCATGGTACACCCTTGTGTACTATCAAACTTTCATGAAATTACTTGATATCTTAAGAATTACACAAACATAGTGTAATAAAGCACAAGGTAGATAGCGTATGCAAATGTAAATTTAAATGCAACTAAAATACCTAAAATATAGCTGTAAAAGCAGCATAAACGTGCCTATAAATCCTATATACATATGGATGAGACCCCAAAACACCCAAAATTCTACTTCGGCCTTTTTTGTTTCTAAACCCATAGTTTCCATTGTTGATTTTTTAAACCCTAGTCTCCATAGTTGAGTTTTGAAGGGGTTTCCATTGGTTTCACTAGTGGAAAGGCCCAGACTATGTTTTCTGATTTGGTATTTTTAGGTTTCTTATCACGATTTTTCTTTCAGAAAGAAAGAATTTCCGATCTATTTTTAAGAGTTAAAATAACCCTATAAATCTAAATGGAAAGCTTGAAAGTAAAGGCAACCAAATCGTGACATTTCATAATTAGGTTAGTTAAAGGCTAATGATTAAGAATATATGGTGAATTCAATTGTGGTGAATAATTGGAGGTATCTACCGAGAGAAGCAAGTCGAAACGGGCAAAGGCATTGATCTTTAATATATACAGTACTTGAGTCTGCAGTGTGGCGTCAAATTGAATCTCCATACGCATTCTTCTCTTCTGGGTCTTCTTTTCATCTCTTCCTCTCTCCTCCCTTCTTCCCAATCCCCACACTTCCATCTTTTTTTTCTCCATTTCTTTCTCAATATTCCTCCATTTTAGTGTCTCTCATCTTTGCTTCATCAATTCAGGTCAGTTTTTTCTTCATGTTGTTTTCATCTCATTCATTCACTGTTTCTTGTGTAATTTTCCTTGTTTTAGCTGATATTTTGTTGTGCATTCTGAATTTCTTAGTAGTTGATATTATTTTTGCTACTGATCATGTAAATTATGCAACTATCTTTGTTATTGTTTCTGGGCATTGTATATAATTTCGTTTTAGTTGTTCTTGCTATCAAGATTGATTTCATTGAAAATGGATGGGAATTTCAATTGCTACGAATATACTATGTGGGCTGAAATGAAATGAGTCTATCTTTTGTGTTTTGTGATTCTGTAAATATAAAATGAATGGCTTCCTTGAATTGATTTTTGGATTGAGTAATATTTGATTGTTTGCAATTTGTTAATAAATGGTTCTTTACGTGTTAGGACAATGCTTATGGACTGAATATTGCATTATATGGGAGGTATAGACGACATTGAGCCACCTTTGAAACGTACTAAGGAATCGAATAGTTTCTTGTTACATCAACCCGGTATCTGTTGCTTTGGGGAATACAATGGCTAGGACTTTTATCATTGATGAAATGGTAGGATCTAGAGGGCTTATAAGAAGAGATGAATTCGTTAAAATCATCACCAGTGCCTTGTATTCTCTCGGTTATGGTAAGGCTGGAGCTCTTTTAGAAGAAGAATCCCAAATAAAGTTGCATCCATCTAGTGTAACTTCATTTATGCAGCTTGTGTTGGAAGGGAAATGGGATGACAGTATTACCATTTTGCGTGAGTTTGGTCTCTCTCCTGAGACCAAGAAATGTGCAACATTCGTTATTTTGGAGCAAAAATATCTGGAACACCTACAAAGTGGAAATACTAAAGATGCGCTGTTGACGCTTAGGAATGAGATTTCACCTCTTTGTATAAACACGAACAGGGTTCATCAGCTTGCTGCCTGCCTTGTCTCTCATTCACAAATCATAATTCCCAGCACTGAAACTATTTTTGTCAGTTCGCGGCAAGAAATTTTGGAGAATTTGCAGAAGTTGCTTCCTGCTGAAGTGATTGTACCTGAAAGAAGATTAGAACAACTTGTGGAGCAGGCTCTTGACAGGCAACGAGAATCTTGTGTGTTCCACAACATACTTGATAGTGGATTATCCTTGTATATTGACCATCGATGTGAGAGCCACCAGATTCCTTCTGAAAATATACAGGTCAGAATCGGTATGTACTGGATTGTTTTGTTTTTGAGTTGCCGTACAAGGGTATTGTGGTAAAGTTAGTTGTGATAGCAGCTATTAGGAACAATAGAATTGACATGACCATCAAGTTGATGAATTATTTGTTTCAAATCATGTATACGAAGTATATTGCACATTATGTAACTTTACATTAAATCTCATTGTCACTTCCCATAACATCATGATATATGGTGATTTTTTTTTTTAACCAAAATAAATTTCCAAGCAATGAATTTCTGGACATATCTATACTATTAGAAGGAATCAGCCCCCAGTTCCTGAGTTAGATTAATATTTTTTGTGGTTGCAATAAAATTAATACTTTGATGTTTAACAAATTGGTCTAAGCTATGGATTATCATACAAAACTAGACTAATGCAAGGAACTATACAAAAAGACTTGACCACGAAATTAGTGATGCTGGATCCTAAAGCATTGTGGAAAATAACTTCCACTAGTGGGTTCGTATAACAAGATAAACAAAGGAAAATATCCTTATTTTGTCTATTTTGGTATGATGGCTCATAGTTCAGTTACATTGTTAAACATTCCTGTATAACACATTATACAGATCGAAGATGGACCAACTGTAAGATGGGTGAATGGGGTTTTCTTAAACTACACTAGTTTTCTTGTCTTTACTTAGCTAACACATAATGATTGATCTGCTTATTCAATTAGGATTTAGGTGTTAATCTAGAAGCCATATTTGACATTTAGCATTGCATTATCGTATAGGGAGTGATTGTAGAGAGATTTTGCAGTCAAAGTAAGAAGACTAAGCCTTTTCAAAATGTTTATCTCAGGCATGTTTTTTTTTTTTTTCCATTATTGTTACACCCCAATTTGCTTGTGGAAGATGTTTTAGTTAGAAATATCTCAAAGCCTTAAGCCCAAAAATTGGGCTCGGTTACACGAACCAAGAATGTTAGGTTGCGACTTTGCATATATGCTTTATTAGCTCGCCATATACTGCCTTTCACATGTGCTGTTTGATCTGATGGATCAGGTACTTCAAGCACACGGCGGTGAAGTTTGGTATGTGCAGTTTTCACACAATGGGAAGTACCTAGCATCAGCAGCTACAGATCGGATGGTATATATTTGAGAGGTACATATTTTTCATTTTATTCTTTTGGTTTGCATGTAACTTATGAAGATGTGCATTTTGTAAAAATACTTGATTAAAAGGCAGGTCAATTAATGTTCTACCAGTTTTGTATGATAATGCTCAATTGTTTATTCCTTTATTTAGCATTGTTATATGCCAAGGATTGCTGAAGTTTTGTACTCTGGGTCTATCTCCCTTGTGGATTCAAAGGGATATAGAATCATGTTGGTTGAAGAAATCTGGAGTTAAAAGCCCCTGTTGAGTGAGTACCATCTAGAATACGTGAGGAAAGTAAAATAAGTACCATTTAGAAAAAGTGAGGAAATTAAGAAGTTTAGTTTTATTCTACAGGGTTTGAATAGCTTGGTTCCATAGTCAGTCACTCACATCTTTGACCATTCAGAAACTACATATGTGGCTTTTTTCGGGAGGGGGTGACAAATGAGTAAAATAGTGTTTGTTAAACAAAGAGAATAACATTTTACTTTTTTGTGAGAACGATGTAATCTATTTACTATTTATATTCCCTTTTTTTGTTTCTAAAGTTCTGTGGCACAATACTTTGTCCGCAGACTCTTAAGAGTGGCCGGGTGTGTCTAAAGCATTTGCTAGCTGGTCATAACAAACTTGTCTGTACTGTTTCTTGGAGTCCCGATGACAGCCAACTTCTTACATGTGGACTGGAAGAAGTTGTTAGACGTTGGGATGTCCAGTCTGGTAAATGTCTCCATGTTTATGAAAACCTTGGCACTGCTTTGGTTTCATGTGGTTGGTTTCCTGACGGAAAAGGAGTATTCTGTGGTGCCACTGATAAAAGTATCTGCATATGGTATCTAGATGGAAGAGAAGAGGAATGTTGGAGAGGTCATAGGACACTACAGACATCGGAAATGGCTATAACCAATGATGGAAAGAGTCTATTAAGCCTTTGCCAGGATAGTGCTATAGTGTTTCTTGACAGACAAGCGAAGTTTGAGAGATTGATTGAAGAAGACCAAGCTATAACATCATTCTCTTTATCTAAGGACAGCAAGTTCTTGCTTGTAAACCTTGCTAACGAAGAGATACATCTCTGGAGCCTAGAGGGTGATTTCAAAGTTATCTGTACGAACAAAGGACACAAACGTTCCCGTTTTGTCGTTCGTTCCTGCTTTGGGGGCATTGAGCAAGGCTTTATTGCCAGCGGTAGTGAGGATTCACAGGTAATAATTGTATGTGAACATATAATTTCCCTCTCATCTGATTGGCTTCTTTTTCTTTCTGTTTATGTTTTGTAGACAGGTAGCCTTAGATAGACTGTCTCTAGAAAATCCAGTGGATCACCTTAGACCCCATCCCCAAAAAAATGGGCTGAAAATGTTCCAGATGTGGTGTATACTCAGTCTCACAGGGATCTAATTCTTCTTTTGCATATTTGATCGGTTCTGCTGGAGTATTATCCTTATTCCATAGGTGCTGAATCATCAGTTAATAGTTGGTGAAAACAGTAAATTCCACTCTATTCTCCTTTTGTGCCATCTAGAGGCTATGAAGAAGATTGTCATAACTCTCAACTTGAGGCGCTTGATGGTGATTTACTGTTGTTCCATTAACTTCCAACCTTCTAAGTTTGAAAGTAGACTTGAGTAGACTGGTTTTTTAGTTACTTTTTGCTTCTCATCTCTGATTCTAAAATATGAAAATATCTAAGCATTATTTGGGGTGTTATTCTTAAAATTACTATGTGGCAAGAGAAATATAGGAATGTTATTCAGTTACTTGCTGGGAATCTGACACATTTAAGAATACTGTAAAGACGGCAAAGAAAGTTTTTGGTACCCAGTAGTTTGAGTTAGCAGCAATTACCTTCTTCTCCTATGCTTGTATTGTTTGGCTTAGAGATCAGAAAAAAAGCCTTTTAACTTTAGTATACTCGATTACTGGGTACCCCGTACCATTTGTCTGAGTTTGGCTTTACACCATTACCCATGACTGTTGCATGGCTTGCATCCTCCCGCCATAGGATACTTTAAGAACTTCGAAGTTTGGATTTGTACCTATGATAGTCACAAAGCAAAATTTGTGCCTGGCAAACATTCTGTTGTATATATGAGCAGAAGTTTTGGATTGATGACAGGGTGTTTTGTAAATGTAGGTATACATATGGCACCGAAGCACCGGAGAGCTCCTCTTGACGTTGCCTGGACATTCAGGAGCTGTCAATTGTGTGAGTTGGAATCCGTGTAACCTTCATATGATGGCATCAGCAAGCGATGACAGGAATGTTATAATATGGGGTTGTTAGTAATTCAAAATTTCAAACTTGTAGATGGAAAAAGATAGGGAAGCAAGGAGGATAGCAATACATCTCTCTCTCATACATAACATCACATGCCTATTTTCTTTTGTGTACATATTCTGCTTTTGGCACTGGTAGCATCAAGAAAGCCTTGCAGCTACGCCTCTGTCTGCCATCATTACTGTAAAGTGTAAATTGTGGAATTATCTACATCTTACTTCTACCATTGCACATGTTGATCCTCTAATTTTCTAGACACCACTTTCTATGCCTTTATTTGATAGTTTTGACTTTTGACTAACTAAGATTAATCTTAAATTCAGAGCAACTAAAATTAGTATCCAAATCTTGTAGAAATCCTAATATGCTTTGTAAGGAGAGAGTCAAAGTGTTTACTATGAATCTACGAGTTTCAGCTTTCGACATATGGAGTAGTGGATTTTACCAAAAAGCTCAAGTTGAATCAAACTTAAATAAAGTGGGTTATTTCAACAAGGAGATTATCAGCAAGTTTTTCGGGGGAGGGGGAGCTTTGCAGGGGGAGGGGAGCGGCAGCGAGAGGCGGAGGAGGTGCAGCGAAGGGTGGGGGAAGAGTGGCGGTGCGGTGGTTGGGTTTTCCGATAGTGTGGGTAGGTAAGAGGGTGGTGGTGTAGTGGTGGCTAAGGAAAGGTAATGGAAAAGGTTAGGGGGTGTGGAGAATCAATGTAGAATAAATTTGGGTGAACTCAAAAATATAAATGGATAAAGGGAATGACAAAAAGTGACAAACAAACGACAACAAAGGGAATGAGGCTTGTTCATTCTCTTTCCTGTGATGATTAACCCCAACAAAACAACCCCTTAAAGTTGTTATTGATTGAAGTATATAGATGATTATTATATTATCATTGTTTTAATTGTTGGGTGTGACTCAATTATTGTTGCTACGCATCAAATTAAGGAAAAGTGAAAATGGAGACCATATATAGTATATTTGTATTAAAAAAAAAGAGGAAGTGAGATTTATAACTATGTATGGTCTCCAACTCTCCATAGTACTCGTATAAAAGAGGAGCTGTATTTATGGAATTGCTACTAATTGGAGTTGTATTGAGTGAAAGCACTCCTGCTAAATAAAATTAGACCTACGATGTGAGTTTGTGTACGATAAAAAAAAAGGAAATAAAAAGTTCTATAAAAGGAATTAAAACTAAAAGCTTTTCAAATAAGGAAATGAAGCAAATATTTAAAAAGTGGAGCAAGTATTTAAAAACGGAGGGAGTAGCTAACTAGCTTTGATCCTGTGCAATGCTGAGAGATCCAACAACTTGAATAACTCTTAGTAGCTACCTAGTTTTCGATTTTTTTTTTTCTTTTTTTTTTTTAAACAAAACAACTTGAATTTTATACGTATATTTAGCAAAGACTCTTAAGTTTTTTTTTTTTTTTTTTTTTTTTTTTTTTTTTTTTTTTTTTTTTTTTTTTTTTTTTTTTTGTAATCCACGGAGTATATGAAGTACTCGTAACTTATAATATTCCATTCTTGTAGATACGAGAGGTAAATAAACATAAACTCGACCGCCTACATGAAAATACAATTAATATTTCATTAGTTTTGGATAGGAAAGTCGAACCTAAATATGATCCGAGACCTGAATTGATCTGAATTTCATAGTACTAAAACTTTTAAAACTGTGAGTCTGTGAGGCGGGTGTCATATAGTATACAATACTACGGAGTACCAAACCAAACTTGATCTAATAGAAAGAATAATACTTTTCAACCATGACTCCATGAGGTTGAGGGTTCAATCCCCACTAAAGACAATTTGGGGGGTGGAATTTCCTTTATCTTCCCCCTACTCTTTCAAATTGTCTAGTTGCCTACTTGCCTGGGGCCGGAGAACCTATGAGAGGTTTTGACACGGTAGGGTCTTTCTTCTTACAAACAAAAAAATAAAATAAAATAAATACTATACTACTGGACACTAGTACTCCGTCGAAAGTCGTAACCATTGAATTGTTGTGAATTGGGGAGGTAAATAAACATTCCATTGGCAGGCAACGGCAACGCAGAGAGAAAGAGAGAGAGAATGGGAAGCGTGGTGGCACAGATACCCACCAGCTTTGGACATGAGCTTAGAGCTTGCCTTCGCTGCAGACTTGTCAAAACCTATGATCAGGTTCTCTCTTTTTCTTTCTTTTCTATTTCCATGTCTTTGTATTTTCGAATTGTTAGGGTTTATCACCAATGTTTTTGTTTTTACAGTTTAGCTTTATTTAATTGTTAGGGTTTATCACCCACGTTTTTGATTTTACAGTTTAGGGAATCAGGATGCGAAAATTGTCCCTTCTTTGGCTTGGATAAAGATCATGAGCGTGTTGTTGAGTGTACTACTCCTAATTTCACTGGGTATGTTCCCTTTTTTTTTTTAAGGGTTTCTGGGTATCAGTTTCAAGTTTTAGTTTGTTTTTAATCATTTATTTACTTGTAAATTATATTCATCCCTTGAAAGTTGAAAGTGTTCTACTTGATAAGATTCTATCATGTTCGTATTGAGAAATGCATATCATATTCATACTAGAGCTGTGTTGTGTACTTGTGCATGTAGTGCTGCTTGTTAGAAACTCCCTTGTGCAACTCCTGATTTTCCAGAATCATATTTTTTTCTAGGATAATTTCTGTTATGGATCCAAGTCGGAGCTGGGCTGCTCGCTGGCTACGCATTGGTATGTCACTTGTTGCATTTGTGCTCATCCTTTTTTTTTGGGTTCCTTGTTGCCTCTTTGATGTTGAAACAAATTTTTTTCTTCAAAATCATACCTATTGACCTATTGTCTTCAACTCTTCATTTATATATAATTTATGGTTGGTATGGAGTCATTGGACTACCAGTGGCTCATTTGTGTATGTTAACTCATGAATTATAATTAAACGCAGTAAATTGGGTGGATAAATTTTCCATCATTGATTCATTGGGCATTTTTAATGATGTTAGGAGCAATTTTTGAAGGGTGTTTTGGTTGTTCTAGTAACAAATTGGGAGGGATGGAGGTTTAGGTGGGTAACACACTCTGTGCACATTATTGGGTAATGAATTGGCATAAAGGTGATGGTGTAACAAAACAGCCCATGTGGTATATTGGACGTGATATATATGTTGTGAGAAGGGCATGTTTATTGTCTGTCTTCTTTACTACTATATCTCCCGGGCTTGGTCAGTCTCGATCTAGCAGTTCTATAAATTCCTTTTTGTTTTCTTCTTAATCTTTAGGAAGCTGCCCTAACTATTCTAAGTTGTCCTTTCTGTCGTCAGAGTTTTCTTTGCTTCCTCTTTAATATAAGTGATTTGTTCATTTCTTTCATTCACTATCTTACATTGATTTTTATCCATGATGTGGCATTGACTTTCTGCTTGTTCTAGGCTTATATACACAATTAGTTCATAATGAGATTTTTAAATAGTGATTCCTTATGGTGCACGTGTCCGTTAGGTTTTGGCTTAGCCAATTTAATTCTACATTTATGAGTATAACTATTTGTCCTTGCTTGAAAATATAGAGTGGAGGTAGCCAAGAACATGAATCTTGTAACAAAAAATGGTGCTATAGGATCCTTGTTATAATGCACCATTTCTTCAACGTCTAGAGGCTTAGGGCTTGTTTTCTTCACCTTATGTTTTATAAAATTGATTTTTAACGTTTACTATGTTTCAAAAAAGATGCATCACTTTACTAAAAATGTGAGAGCTTTTTGGGTATAGTGATGCATCTAATTCAAACTGAAGGAAGTAAAAAAAAAACCGATTGTAACTGATATAAATTAATTTGATCCATTGTTGTGCTGTTCTATGAACTTACTGATTTCTAAACAAACTAAATTGAATTTTTACTTTTGGTCATATATGGGTCCCTCAGTTTTTTATTTATTTACCAAAATGCCATGATGACTAGATAAAATGGCAAAAATGTTAATAAATCAACAACTTTTTTGTCAAATCTGGGGCCCACCGTTTTTGATTTATTTACCAAAATGTCATGTTGACTAGACAAAATGGTTGATTTATTTACATTTTTGCCATTTGATATTTTGTTTGGGACTTCCTTTACATTAAGAGCGATCCCCTCCTTTTTCTTGATAATTTTAGTTGTTGAAATTAATGGGTCTTCCACTCGTATTTCTTTTAAGCTCTTTTTTATGCTTGATTTGTGGGCCTTACATAGCTGTCATTTACTAGACAAAATTGTAGATTTATTTACATTTTTGCCATTTGATATTTTGTTTATCAAGGAGATAAATTGGGACTTCCTTTACATTAAGAGCGATCCCTTCCTTTTTCTTGATAATTTTAGTTGTTGAAATAAATGGGACTTCCACTCGTATTTCTTTTAAGCTCTCTAAGAATTTATGCTTGATTTGTGGGCTCTACATAGCTGTCATTTGTGAAATTGAAGGAATATTCTGTTATGTCTCACATAATTTGGAATGAGCTTTGTTTCAAACTTCTTTATGCCGTTATCTATCTATTAGGAAGATAACTTCAAAAGTGGATGTATTTGGCTGATTGGGTCTAAATTCTTTAAAACTCAGAAGTGTCATACTTGCTATATTACCTCCTTAAAGTCTCAGGTTTGTGCTTTTTTTTTTTTTTGGGTTGTGTGTGTGTGTGTGTGTAACAGACTAACAGTCTGCTTGGGTTTCTTTCTTCACATCTGTTGTATCTGAATATGTGTTCCACACTATAAAAATAGTTAGGATGGTAGCCTTGGTAGGGGGTATTTTACACATGTTCCACACAATTACCATAGAAATGGCTATGCACCAGCTACCACCTAGCCTTTTGCTGTTTTCAAAACAATATTTTACTGAAAGCACAAATCGAAGGGAAAAAGTCTAATGTATTTCTGGAGTAACAAATGCTTCAAGGGTGATTAAAGTCTTCTCCAAACAGGCAAAATGATACCCACTAGCTTCTTGATTTAGAATACCCTAAACCCAACTTACTATCTCAAATTAATTATTCCCTCCATTCCTTAATTGGTTGCATCTTTTCATTTTGAGCTGTTCCTTAATGTTCTTTGCACTACCCTTTTTCTTTCTATCCTCTCTTATTCCATTTATTGAACCCACTTAGCTCCACTCTCTTTCACAACCACATTCTCTCTCTGATCTTAAAAACAGAAAAGGGTCTGCTCTCTCTTCCGCTCTCTTATTGAGGATTTTTAAAACTACTTTAGAGGTTCAAAACATTTTGTTATAGTGGGGGAATGATTTGGGGCAGGTTTTTTTTTTTTTGAAATTGATTCTTTTCATGCTGTTTTGCTTTTCGAATATCAATTTGATGGGGTTTGGCTTACTGTTCTAGTGTGCCTTTTCCAAAGTACATTAAATTGGGTTTCCTAGAGGCCTTTTTAGACAATTGATATTGGTTCACCTTCCTACAGACGTGTGGAACACAAATATTTCATCAAAATAATTAAATCTCTGAAGATCTAACCCATATCAACACACACGTGCAAAGTTGTAGCCCCTTTCCCCTTTCTAGCTTTCTCTTAGTATCTCACCTTTCATAAATTGTTTCTCCAGTCCTCCCTGATGGTTAGTGTTTTACAAAAAGAAGGGTTTAATCGAATCACCTTGATTAAGCACCTAGCCACAAAATTATGCCCCTACAAAGTTTGAATCTGTTCTGGCTTTGCTCCTAGGTTCTTAAACTATGCATCTTCATTTTAAAATTAGTCTTGTAGATTTCTAAATTCCGTGTGAAGTTATGAACACTAGTAGTTTTTTTTTTTTTGACACATGAACACTAGTAGTTGTATGACCTTTATTAGCTTCAAAGCTCAAAGTTTGATATTGTATACTCTCATACTACTCTTTTTGCTTACTTTCTGTGTCAACAGTCAACTGTAATATTGTTTATTTTGTCATGTCACTAACCACAATATTTCATCCATGATCTACTGTTTGATATTATGTTCTATTATGGGTTTTGGTTCTCTTTTGTTATGGTTTGATATTTAATGGCTAATCACTATGGGTATAATGGTAGAAGCCTGAGTCCATGTTATTGTTTTCTTTTATGCCTTTGTTGAGAATGTTAATCATCTGCCACAACCATGTCTGTTAATCCCCATTAAACGACAGTACGTGTTTCTACTATGCAGTTTATGATGGCAGGTCTATGTTAAATTACAGCTTGCACTGTGGTTTTATTGATAATCATACAAGATTGATTATAACTACATCAATTTTGTTTTTGTTTTTGTTTTTTTTTTTTTTTTTTTTGATTTTTTTGATTTTTTTAAAACTGCAACTTGGAGTTGGTTTAAAAGTCTTTTTAATGACCTGTCATACGATCTACTGTGGTATCCTGTTAGGAATTAGGATAAAAAACAGAAACAATCAAATTAGCACAGAAGAAATTAGCCCAAGATAGATTGTATTGAAAACAAAGTATTCCCAATACAACTTCCTTCTTCCGAGAGGAAGGAATTCTCTCCAAGTTTCTGGTAACAACTTTTCTGAATGAATTCCCTTCCCAACCCCTTACTCAATTTATTACAATATTCCCTCACTCCAGCTCAGCTAACAAAAATAACTAACTCTAGTCAGATTACTTAATTACCCTTCTCCTAACAAACTCTTGTAACAGATTTTCCAACTCAGAATAACAGCTCAGCCTCCTATTGCTATTCGATTGGCCTTCTTTGCTGCTGGATTGGGCCTCTTTCGTGCATGCGTGATGTACACTGCAGGCCTGGGAGGCTGGGACAATCCCTTGCAGATCCCTGAGCTGAGTTACTTGTCAATGTTATTTAGTGATTGGATAGTTTCTAAAGATATTTTTATTACAGATAAGCAATTTACTCCCCCTAATATTTGACAATTTAATAGAAATATTCTGCATGATGTCTATATGTGTTTTTAATTGTGTTGAAATTCTTTCATTTGTCCCCTCCCCCCCCCCCCCCCCCCAGGGAGAAAAAAAAAAGGAAATATTGTTTCAATGCTGGAAGAAATTGAGGGAAAGGAAAATGAAGTGTCACATCCAAACAAGGGATATGAATCCCTCATTCTCATGTCCTCCAATTTTTCCTATCAAATCATTTTGAAAGATGTGGAGCATAATATGACGATGTTTTTCCTGTTTATCAGGAAGATTTGTTCCTGGATGCTACACCCTTGCTGTATCAGAGGCACTTCCTGAGGAATTTCAGGTGCATATTGATGTTTACATCTGGCAACTATTATCTTCTACCTGGAACACTTATGTTGAAACTATGTTGAGAAATTGTCAATGTTTGTGTGTGTGATAATTATTGGATTTTTTGGTGCAGTATTTAAGCTTTGGTCTTTTAAGGTTCTTTATTGTAAAACATGAATTGAGGAGGACACAATTCTTTGTTCCCTTTCAGAAAAATCATAAAAAAGTTGGCTTTCACCCTCTTTCTGGTTTCCATGTTATACCATACCTCTGACCCTCTTGTGCAACCTTATAGCTCTCCTTTTTGGTGGTTCTGATGTCACCCTTTTAGTTCAATGCTATCAACTGTCCACTTTGGTTACTGTTTGACTTCCTTTTTATTACTCCGTAATTCCGTATGTTATTGTATGATTTTATGTCTCTATCCTCTGAAATATGATTTTATATTTGACAAATAGCTTTGACTATATGCTATTTCAGAAACCATGCTTTCTGGAATGAGATGCATGAGTGTGAACTAAAATTTACACTGACCATTTTAGCTGTTAAGCAAGCATCCTAAAAGGTGAAATGACCTCATTTCATTTCCTGAAATGAATCTATATACTTCCTCCGTTTTTTTAATATTGCACCACTTACCTTTTAAGGAAGTTTCACATTTATTGCACCATATCCATTTTAGGAAAAGAAATTTATGTGTTCACACTAAAAATACCTAATATACCCTTTCTTTTCAACCCTTACTTTTATTTTGTGCATACAATCACATGGGCAACTTGGTATTTCTACCTTTCTCTCTTATCCTTTTTCCACTACCAAAAAATTTGTGTCAAACCCTTATGGTGCAATAATAAAAGAACGGAGGAAGTATTATTAAAGGAGCTTGTGGGTTCTAGTCATGTTTTTTTTATTGTGAAAGATTTCGACATGAAATTTTCTCAAAGTCAAAGATAGGGAGAGCATGTTTGTTTACTCACATCAGGGGTGCCTTTTGTCCCTACCTGTATGATGTGTGCATTTAGCTATTTTTGTGTACATAGAATTTTGATGTGAACGAGCAAAAACTATACATGTTGAATCAATTGCAACAATAAGTCTGTCTTAATATGTATTCTTGACTCCTACAGTCCTTCCGTTTTCCCTGTCTCTTCACTGTAACTTGTTCAAAGACCATATTAAGGAATTGATAGATTTCTCATCTCTTTTGCAGGCTATCTGTGAGGATGAACGTGTTCAATATGTGCCTCCGAAGCAAAAGTCTTAGGTTATAGGTTTGTGGATATGGCAATGATGATAGTGCAATGACTGTTGTACACAAGCTAACGCTAAGCTACAAACTCAGTCACTTAACTAATGTTTGGGAAGATTAGTGTCATAACTTTCTAATTAAAATGTCTACTTTTTAATTGTACTTGTTTGAATGTGGAAGGTTCGATGCCGTAGGTAAATGTGTTGAAATTTATAAATTTGTGGCTTTGAAAAACTAGTACTATTGTTTATAGGTTCAAGTCAATATGGTATGCGAATATGGGATTAATCAAGCCTGCTATTTGTTTGTCATAATCGAATAGCCACCTTCCGCCTCATTGTGACAATTATACATGGAAAGAAGAGTAGTAGTGGTCTAGTGGAAAGGATTGTCTGTGAATCAATCTCCACTAGAGGCCACTTGGAGGGTGGGAATTCCTTAAGCCCCCCCCCCCCCCCCCCCACCACTGAGAGGCTCTGATCCAATAAGACGTCTTCTCCTTACCTTTACAACAAGTAAAAAAAATAACTAGTACTAGTATGGATTATGGGGGAGAAAGATCAAAGCAGATATATTAATGAAAATTCTGGTGCATTTGATCTTTCAGTTGATGGCTACTTTCAGCATCTCAGCCCAATTAGGATGTTAAAGACTTAAATTGTTACAGACTATAAGAGATATTTGTAAAGTTTGATTAGAAGGTGAAGACTGAAGAGCCATTATTAATTATGCAATAATATTATTATTATGTATATATTTTTTCCAAGATAAGGACATAAGGCATATGCCAAAATATAGATGCTCTCATGGTCTATGGTTGGAGAAGTGGTGCACGTGAGACACAAGGCCAACAAACTCATAAGCCACTTGTTTTTTCTCTTTTGTACTTCAATCAATCACACGATTAATCGAGCAACACTTGATATAGTTGGTTAGAGATACATAAATCTTGAGATAACAAGGTCAAATCTTTTCTATACTTTCAAGTGATTGTGTTTGATCACACTTCTCTTAACTGAATATTTTATGAGAGGAGGATATTAGAATTGAACTGGTTTGAAATTAGTCTGAAGAGAAAAGACCCTTAATACCCACATAATTTTGAGTATATTGGTATATATTCTCCATAGTCCATACACCTCTAGACAATAGGTGAAGGCTTATAAGAAGGAATTTCTTCCCGTCCTAGAAAGAACAGACTTGTAGGCAATTCAAACATTTGAACTCATGCGTATACCTTTAAAAAGACTTTGGATTAGGACATTGTGAGGCGGGTAGTTTATCTGACACGGATGCCTCCTAAAGAGTGGAATTATAGGGTTTGAGATGAATACAAAGTGTAGTATATAAAAATTTAATTCAACAAAAAGTTAATAACTTGATAAATTAAAAAGGTAGAATTTCTAAATAAAATTACTAGGAAACATGACATAAAAAGAGATAGTAGATTGAGTAAAAAAATTGTAGACTTGTGAGAGGGGAAAGAAGGTAGGGAAATGTTGTCAAAAAAACAAAAGAAGGTAGGGAAATAAATAATAAAATATCTTTGAAGGGAAAGTGAAAACCACTGCTGTCCGTTGTTCCTTGTGTTTCCTCTCAAAAAAGCCGAGTCGTCTTTCTCGTTCAAGCCCACTGACTTGTTCCCAAATCCCATCTGCGTCTTTTCTAGGGTTTTTCAATTCTTACTTTTAGGTGAGTCGATTTTCTCTTTCTCTCTCTATAATCTATATATTGGCTATTAGATTCAATTTTTATATAAACTTTACATCTGAAATTTTGTTCAATTTTAGTCCGATCTGTGCTCTTTTGTGATTGATTGGTTGATTGATTGATTGATTGATTGATAATATAAGCAATTTGATTGTGTTGTTAGAAATGGCGAACATCGATATCGAAGGAATATTGAAGGAGATTCCCGAGGATGGAAGAGTACCAAAGACGAAGATCGTGTGTACGCTAGGGCCGGCTTCACGGTCTGTGCCGATGCTGGAGAAGCTTCTGAGAGCGGGTATGAATGTTGCCCGATTCAACTTCTCCCATGGAACTCATGAGTACCATCAGGAGACTCTTGAAAATCTCAAAATTGCTATGCAAAACACTCAGATCTTATGTGCTCTTATGCTTGATACCAAGGTCTCCCCTTTCTCTCTCATTCAATTACTTGTTTTCATCCAACCCGATGTTAATGCAATCATATGTTTCATCAATATCGTGCTAACAATACCTAGGGGAGGATGGATTTTATTTGATGATAAATCTTTCATTTTTTTTATTTCCAATCAATATTGCTTTATTCGTTTATAGCCTTTATTTAGGTAAGATTTAACTGTACTGCAAATTATATCCTCGAGCATTTAGATTTTATCAACTTTGTCTTTCACATCATTTCAAAACTGATTTGTCTTTCTAGGCCTCATATTTGCTCAACTGTCTTGGTTTGGTTTGTCTGCTGCTGCTTGACCTAAGGATTTGGTTAGGAAAATTTGTACCAAGAAGCCTTTATGCTTGTTTAACTTCTGCCTTGTTCTCAATTTGCATAGTATGGAGGGATATTAAGCTCAAACCTTGAGACCCCCCCATATGGGATCATTGCCATGTTTGGGAAAATGACTTATATCCAGGAGTTTGTCTCATTCATCCCAACAAAATTGTAACCTGGGTGGGCTCCTTAGACCTTGTGTGTACTTCCTGAACCAGGGTTGAGTCAGAAGCCTTGATGTGATGGTTAATTGTAATGTGACTGCTTTCATGTTTTCTATGCTCTTACAGAGTAACTGTATTTTATTTTGTGATCCCTGGGTACTTTCTTTTTACATGAATCTCTTTGACTATTACATAACCTGATTGGCTTGCTGGATCCTTTGATTAATGATTATCTATTTTAAATTTGTATTTATCATTACATTTACATTCTTACTTGAAATAATCTCCTAGAGTGTCTGATATTGCAGGGACCTGAAATACGTACTGGGTTTCTCAAGGATGGGAAGCCCATCCAACTGACAGAGGGACAGGAAATCACTGTTTCCACTGATTACACCATTAAGGGTGACACAGAGATGATTTGTATGAGCTATAAAAAGCTGGCTGTGGATCTTAAACCAGGAAACATCATCTTATGTGCTGATGGTACTATTACTCTCACTGTTCTGTCCTGTGATCCAGCTGGTGGAACTGTGAGGTGTAGATGTGAGAACACTGCCGTACTGGGTGAGAGGAAAAATGTAAATCTTCCTGGAGTTGTAGTTGATCTGCCTACTCTGACAGAGAAGGATACAGAAGACATATTGGAGTGGGGTGTACCCAACAACATTGATATGATTGCTCTGTCATTTGTCCGGAAGGGATCTGATCTTGTTCATGTGCGGAAGGTCCTTGGCCCCCATGCCAAACATATACAGTTGATGTCAAAAGTGAGTGAAACATTAATTCTTTTATCTTTCTTTTTTTTCCCTTCCAGGTTTTGACTTAGTAGTATTGGGTGTGAGGTCTCTCATTACCTAGATTTTTGACCTGTTATTTTTGCTGTAGTGGCATTTGAGTTATGTTAATGTTTTTTTTTTTTTTTGTAGCATACCAGCATCCACTTGACCTTTTTGTCTGATTGAATCCATTTGATGTTTGTTGAATTTATTCAGGTTGAGAACCAGGAGGGAGTGATCAATTTTGATGAGATTTTAAGGGAGACTGATTCATTTATGGTTGCACGTGGTGATCTTGGAATGGAGATTCCAGTTGAGAAAATTTTCCTGGCACAGAAGATGATGATTTACAAGTGTAATCTTGCTGGCAAGCCAGTAGTTACTGCAACACAGATGCTTGAATCCATGATTAAATCTCCAAGGCCAACCCGTGCTGAAGCCACCGATGTTGCTAATGCCGTCCTTGATGGAACTGACTGTGTTATGCTTAGCGGTGAAAGTGCAGCTGGGGCTTACCCGGAGCTTGCTGTCAAGATCATGGCCCGTATATGTATCGAGGCAGAATCTTCCCTTGATTATGCAGCTATCTTCAAAGAGATGATTAGGGCTACTCCTCTACCAATGAGCCCCTTGGAGAGTCTTGCATCTTCAGCTGTCCGAACTGCTAATAAAGCCCAGGCAAAGCTCATTGTTGTCATGACACGTGGTGGTACAACGGCCAAATTGGTTGCCAAGTATAGGCCAGCTGTACCAATCCTCTCAGTAGTTGTCCCAGTTTTGACAACTGATTCTTTCGACTGGACTTGTAGTGATGAGACCCCAGCAAGGCATAGTCTTGTATACAGAGGTTTAATCCCTCTATTAGCTGAGGGGTCTGCCAAGGCTACTGATTCAGAGTCTACAGAGGTGATTCTGGAGGCTGCTCTGAAGAAAGCAACAGAAAGGGGCTTGTGTCTTCCCGGTGATGCTATTGTAGCACTTCATCGTATTGGAGCTGCTTCTGTTATCAAGATTTGCATTGTGAAGTGATTGGGTGAGACATTAGTCTCTGATTCGGGTCTATAGGAAGAATGGGAGCAATGGTGGCGAGTTGCCTTATTTTGATAATGCTTTTATGCTTTGTAATATCTTGGCCGAATTATTTTTGGAGCAATTAGTTTTTATAATTATGATCTTATGGATCAGTGTTTTGCAATTTTTAAGCTAGAAATAAACCAAGGACAGATATTTCAGGCAAACTGTGTTTTGTTCTCAGATTTCTTCCTGCAGACCTCCTGCCATAATGTTTTCTTCTCTAAATCTCTTTTCAAGTTCCCAGGGTTAAGCTATAAAGTCGTTGTGTTTCATTGTATACTTGTGCATTATATAGAGTTGTCACATCTGTTAGATTAAATAAACGCAGCAGACTAATGGTAATTTGTTTAACTTTTGTTGTGGTGAGGATAGGATAGGGATGAAGGAGAATTGGGAAGTGTATCATTAAGGGGACCATGTAGATAAATTTGGAGTGGAAGTCGTGTGTTATTGCTTTCTTTTTCTAATAAGAGACAGGTCGGGCTAGTAGTATCATGCCAAAGTGAAAGAAATACAAATGGTTAGTCCAAATTATGCCAAGCTCTTTTCATTGGTACCGTCACTCTCATTCATTGGTAGGGCAGTGAGGGGTTTTTCTTTTCTGCCCATAAAAAAGTAGGCTTCTTTTTTAAAAGTAAAGGCCGAATTCAGGCTGTTGAGTGGTTTTGATTATAGTGATTTCAAACTTGATTGGCAACAACCGTATGGATGTTATGGTATCAGGAAGGTAACTGTAATGAGGAGGAGGCGGCGGCAGCAGCAGCAGCAGCATGTGAATCCTGGCTGCAGGACAGTGGCATGCCTGTGCTGTATTATTTTTAGTGTAAAATGAAATTTCTATTTATTTCCTTGGATGTCTTAAAATACATACATATATATATATATATATATATATATATATATATATATATATATATATATATATATATATTTCCTTGGATTATATTAAGTTCTACTCTGTAATATTCTACTCGTAGCTTAACACCTTGGCTTTTCACATATGAATTCGGTTGAACAGAACGTTCTGGGCGATAATAAAAACAAAATATCCGTGACGAAATTGCTTCAGACTTACCTTTTTCACGCTAACTGATTACGTATATGTGCATGAGATGATAATATATATAAATGTACACATATTATATAAGTAGTATAAAAAGTATAAAATAAAATCTCATCTCATTATGTAACTTTAAAGTTTATTCTAATTATTTGTGAAATAAATAAATCTATATTACATTTTCTAGAAGAAGCTTAATTACTCAAACCAGACAAGACAGCATTCCAAATGATGAATTATAATATAATGGTAACTGGTGATATAAGTGAGTGACCAAGGGCAAGTAGGGAATTTTGAGAGCCAAACAAGACAGCATTCCAAATGATGACTTATATATGATCTATAAATATTCTACCCATAATTAAATCCCTTCAATGAATAGCAGAACAAAGTTGCATAATGTTGTCATTCACAGTTCATACCAGAGATTTTTGCTCTCTAATGGCCTTGCTCTCACTCCTCTCATGGGGTAAGCTCTCACTTCCTTTTTGTCCCTTCCCTATTCTCATACCCTGCTCAACTAGTTGTTGTAATAGTAGACTAGTACTCCATAGTTTGTAGTAGCAGAGCTCATCAGGGGGCCAATAATAGTGGCTGCAGGAACAGACTTAGCCACTGTGCTAGCCGATGATTCCATCATGTAATACATGACACAACCTACCTCACTGTTAATATTATTGCCTTTTCCGAATCATATATATCTCATAACTTCTTCAGTGCTTGGATAGGCTAGACAATGAATTAACAAGGCATAGATCGTATTTATCCAAAGGTGTAATTGCTATTATCATGGGTCAAATATGTCTAGACTTACAACCAATTTCTTATTGTTGTTGTTCAGATGGAATAGTTGGAATCACTTTGGGTGCAATTGTAGGAGTTTATAGGTACTACGCAGCGGAAATAACATGAATCATATTCAATTAAGCACCTAATCCAGAAACGCATGCATAACACACAAGACACATAATCATATCTTTGACGCGTGAATTCCACGAAGCTATTCGACAGGCAAATCAGGGAGAGAATAGAGCCCCAAGTGTTGCTCCTCTACTTAGTCCACGAGATTCGAACGAGCCATCCACCAAGATTGGTCGAGTGATTGAGGAAAACAGCGATCACCACCTTTATGGACAACCGACCACCGCACGAACCACCACCACCACGTGACACCACCGTGCGCCGAGGAGGAGGAGAGAGCCGTGAGAGAGAGGACTTTGAGAGGGCTGGGTTTCGTGTTTTCTAATTAAGGTTTGATCACAATGATTAGTTAATTGCTTACTTGCAAACCTAGGCACCTAGTCTATTTATAATCTCATTATATTTAGACTAGGGCACGAAGCCCAAAACCACTTCTAACCCTCCATATGGCCGGCCACCTAGAGTGATGAGGCCCATGATGGGCCTCGTCCTCTAATGCTCGATCTAGCCCCTTTGTGTGACCTTATAGGATCCGTCCAATTGGGCTTTGGGATATTTTACTAGTTCAAAGATCGTCAGTACCTCTAGCTATGGCAAAACGACGACCCAAATGTACGAACTTAATTATCTCCATAATTTGATCCATTTCTATATCTAGTAATTGCACACGACGAAGACATAACTCCTTTAATCTCCCACTTGTCTGAGACAAGGGTGCAATATTCAAATTCCTTAAGTCTATGTGTCGATTTGATAATATGATTGCATCACATGTCGAGATCATATTAATCTACAAATCGTTTCTTGAAATCTGAGTTAGAATTACAAAACCAAATGATTACTGTGTAATGCATTTGAACGCGGCCACGTATTTTCTGAATTCTCCCTCTTTAAGCGGCCATGACACATTTCTTAATTTAATAGGTAGACTCTATCCAATCTTTTAGCAACATGCCTCCCACTCAACTTCTGAAATAATCAGGAAACACCCTTCATAATCTCCAATTACGGCTAGACGTTTGAGTGTACCACAGTCACAACATCCATTGAATGAAATCAATGTTCCACTCATGTCAAAGGAATCCACTAATATATACGGAAGCTCTATACTTGAAATTCAAAGTAGATCATTAGTTCGATCATGCATCATTCATGCATATCCAAGTGATTGACCGAGCATCACTATGACCCTATGGCCCATGAAACTGCGCTATCCAATCAATCTTACATGCTAGTTCATTTATTGAAATCATTTATGTCCACTTTAATGATCTCGAACTAGGAACTTAAATAATATATGAATTTTGTACACCTGTGGGGTTTCAATTCACCAGGTCATCAACCTGATGAGCCCATCAATTCATAATTATTTTGGACATTTTATTTAATTTCCAAAACCATACTTAAATAAGAGAAATAATAATTTCTATTTTAAACATAATTCTGCACATTGATGCATTTCTCATGTAATATGTTTTCTCAAAACATATACAACTTAAATTACATAACTTGCTTCAATCCTAAGAATTTAATTTGACTCTCATACCTAAGTCCATGGAAGGGGTTTAGTGATTTCTCACTCATAATAAAACTTTGCAGAACTTGACCTTCCGCTAGTCAATGATCTCATAATTGAGGTGATATCTCATATCTATAAGTTTGGATTTGTGATGTGACCCTGGCTCCTTTGTTCTTGGGCAAGGGTGACCTCTTAGTCACATGAAATTTTAATCCGAACTTCCTCTCTAACTATCTTACTATAGTTTAATACACATATTCTGACATTGAGTATGCAACAGTGCTCTACTTTGAACTCTTCAAGCTCACTGTCCTTCTCCATCCAGACACAAATATGTATTTAGATCACCATCTAGAATCATCTTGCCTGTGTTGGAAAACTTGCATTTGTGTAACCTTTTGACAACTTGCTTAAATTTCCATTTAACGCAATAGCTAGAAGAATTCCTTTTAGTGCTTCTCAAGTACTCAAGGATCTGTTCTTAGTAACTCTCCATATGCTTATTCTGAATTTTCTTGAAAAACTGCTACACATGCACAAGTCATATGCAACATCTTGCTTTGTACATTTCATGGCACATATAATGAACCTTTTGCAGAAGCATAAGGTACACTATCCATACAACTCAACTCTATTAGCTTTTGAAGGCACTGAGTTTTACTGAGTGTAATACCATGAAACATGGGAAGACATCCTCTCTTAGAATCTTGCTTCATGAACTTGTCAATATCCTTATCAACATAAGTCTCTCGATTCATTCCAATAATTCTTCAAGATTCACTTCATGGTTCTTAATTCCCAATATGTACTCAACATCTCTTAAGTCTCTCATATAGAAACAATCTTTCTAACCACTGCTTGGCTTATTCAAGCATTGATTTATCATTTCATATGAACTGTATGTCAATTACATACTACACTAAGAAGACCAATTGCTCCCACTAAACTTCTTGTCTCTACAAGATTCCCTTTTTCGTTCTACTAAGGAAATCAAACTGTTTGATTGCCTAATCAAAACGAATGTTCGAACACCCTGATGCTTACTTCAATCCATAAATGAATTTCTGAAGTTTGCTAAACTTTCTAGGATTTCTGGATTTCAAAACTCATATGTTGTATCATATACATGTTCACCATCAAGAACATTTCATGAAGTTGATTTTGATATCCATAACTAGAATAATCCGAATAGGCTTACCCAACTAATAGGTTTGACCCTATTTGTAAGACTATTATGGACTAACACATCTTTACAAACATGGAGTCCATACTGGATTTCATGGCTTTAAGCCATTTTCTGAGTTGGCACTTATCCAAAGCTTGCTTGTAGGGCATGGATTCTAACCGTTCTAATAACAAAATTTAAAATCCACCTTTTCTCAGAATTTCAAAAAACTGTTTGTTTTGATCCTAAGTAACCTACAATAGGTATGAGCAACAATAGAATTATTTTCTTCAACTCTTTGAAGCCTTTCATTCTAATAGGACGATAGAAGTCTCGCTAGTTGAATTAGCTTGCTTCGACACATGTTTTATCAAATTAGCTGATTTCATGCGCATTCGTCTCTGATGTAGTGTTATCTACATCCATTTGTTGCTCGTCTCAAATCTCATCGAGATCTAACTTTACTCCCACTTGGCTTTTTAGGAAGAGATTTCTTTCTATAAAGACATTATCGCGAGCAACAAACACTTTGTTTCCACGCGATTGCAGGAATAATACTTCTTAGTTTCCATGAGAAAACCCATGAAGAACTATTTTTCTGATTTAGGGTGT